AGTTGTTTTCGCACTATTATACTTTGGCCGAAAAAAATATTTGCCTATTGGCATCCTTTCTTTCGGCATCACGCATATTACGCTGAAGTATTGGAAATCCCTAATTTTAACACCTCTTTTATTAAACTTATTGGCATGAAGGTTTTAATACTTCTGTAGCTGGATAACAAAGTCTCGGTTAGGTTAGGTTAGACTTGCGACCTTACACATACACAGCTGCCGCGGCGCGGGAGCGCCATTTAAGTTTCGGAGAAAAAAAGAGGCGTAATAAAAATAATTTTGTGTAAAAAAATTTTAGGCTTAAAATTTGTGTGCCATAGACAACTAGGCGTGCAAAAAATTTGACGATTCGATAGAAACCCCGCGTAATCGGATGATGCAATATCCTCCCCTCGCACCGTATGTCCACGCGTATTCATTGAAATCTTAATTACATTTCCGATTGCTGTTTAGGAAATGTGTAAATTTCCTAGGAAATGTATCTAATATAATTTACATCACACATTTCCGGGTGATTTTAGGACTTAAACACAATTCCTAGGAATTGTATACAATGACGGATTTCATACATTTCCTGTAACATCTATACAGAATGTTTCTTTTATGGTGCCAAGCTGTTACCTATTTAGAGAATAATAACATAGGTACAGATAATGTATTTGTACTTAATATCCTAATTAAACAAAAAGTAGACAGTAGCATTTATAGTTGAAAATAAAAATACTTTGAAAATTCTAAACATTTTTATTCATCTTTGTTACAGCAAATAAAGCCTTATAAATATTTAAAAAATATATTTCTTTTTCAGGACCAATAGAAAATGGATGTATGATAAAATAGAAATAGAAGGAAACGATTTTGTCATTAAAAATGAGTATAAACATAAATGATCAGTAAGTTTCAATGTCATCCACATTAATTTTAATATTTTTACAATTTAATCATTGGCCAATAATTTGAAAAAATATTCAACTTCAAGCTCGCCATCTTCTGGAAGATCAGTGCAGTGGACAGCGTTGTGTACAATGGTTTTACCATATTGTGCTCTAATAGAGTCCGGATAGAGCTGACGACACAAATCCTATAATTGCAAGAATAAAGGATTTCAATAAATCCTACGTTTTTATGTTTCTAACATTTCCTTTAGTGTAGCGAATCTAGCCATAAGTAACGCACATAGGGCATTAGGCCTAAGTACAGCAGAAAAGAGAATAAAGTAAATTCTTTTTATTTACAATTTTTCAAATTCTTTTAAAAGAAAAAAAGTGGACCTTGTTTGCAGCTTTGCTGCTGTGATGTCGATAGGCTTAAGTGTGGCGGCGCTTTTTTGGTATGCGTTATTATTGTGCAGTAAAATTGGAATTGGAAATATTCAACTTACCGGATCTCTAGGACCACACAATTTTCTAAACTCGCAAACACAGTTAAGTTTCGGATCGATACATTTAACTTCTAATGCAATACATTTACCCTCTGCGAGGTGAATGCACATTGACTAGAACAGAACAATACAATTAATAAGTTATTGCAAAAGACAGGAATTTAAATACCACAGATGGACCACACACCATTTAAGTTAATTCAACATTTTCGTTTGTTTTTTTTTGTTTTGTTTGTTTGCTCGTTTGCCTCCTATCACATAAAAAAAAAAAAAACATAGCAAGTTGGTAAGATCCGGTAATCAACGGTACTATAAATTATATGCTAGGCCTGCTGTAGTACAACTTACCTCGTATTCTGGTAGCACGTTCTTATATATTTCGTAAAATTCTTCCGCGTTGGCTAGTTTTACCGAGAACATTGCCATTGCAGATATATAAAACTTTCCAGAAGTAGATATTTGTTCTAGAATTGCTCCAACATTGCCTTCGATCACTGCATGAGGCTTGATTACACAGCATGTGCACTCTTTAAATGTAGCCCGAAATGGAATTCTTGGTAGTCCTTTATCGTATCCAAAAAATAGTTCGAGCATCTAAAGACAATTCAAGAGAATTTTCATAATGTAATAAAATATGTAAAAGCTGGGCATAATCTTGGGATAGGTATCCCATAAAGTACAAATAATATCGATTTTTTTAACCTCTGTGGCGTCTTCCAATGTATTGCACCCATGCGCTGTATTTCTTAGTTTATTTTCTCCATATAGTTGCCGAAGAGTTCCCGGAGCCGCTTCTGCTGGGTCAGTGGCTCCTAAGCACGAGCGCCACTTAGATACCGCATTTGCAGCTACCAGTTCTAAGCCTATTACTTCGCCAGTTGTGACATAATCGATTATTATTCTATAAGTGAAGATTACTGTCAATTAAGCTAATTTCAGTGTTATACCAATGTCGGTATTGTATTTCTTTCATTACTCACGGTAACATACTGTTTCCAGCTATGCTTCTATAAAGTTCCATAGCGAAGTCTTTGCTTATTTTCCCATTTTTCATGCGCACTATTCGAAACCCTTTTTTCATTATGTATGTTATTATTTTACCGTGTTCACTGGGTGGCACAGGCTTAATGAGAGCAAATGTGCTAAAAAATACATTGGAATTACTTTCTGGTGATAATGCACATCATTCTAACTAAGTAAAACCTACTGCATCATAAAATATGAAGTAATTTTACGACAGATGTAGTCTTATGTGTTGTCTCGCTGTCTTCTACTAAGGGGTCCTTCCAAGAATAATGGGTGTAATCGTATAAAATGATGATAAAATAGGATGTATTTTTCAAGTACCTTTGAACATTTTTAAACAGAGTTCGACGGGTAGCTGGAGCGCAGTCTACAATATGAAGTAGTTTTGAAAATATATTGACAATGTTTCCTATTTGTAACATGTCCAGACTCAGGGTGGGCAACTGTACCCGTCGCAGTAAATTTTTACCCTTTTTGGTATTAATTACTTGAACAGAATTATCAAATGGGAAGAAGTTCAAAACTAATTCCACGATTTCATCAGCATCTTCATCATACATTTCACAAAGAAATGTATATTTGTCGAAGTAATCATAAACCTGTTAAAATATGTGACAGTTTTAAATTTATAAGGCAACAAATACAAAATAACATCAGATTTGTATACTAAAGTCTATCAAATAATAAAATAAAATCATTAAAACAGATCGACCAATGCTTTCCGTATCCGTCCAACTATCCCCCTTGGAATCGTTAGTCTACCAGTACGACTCAAATCACGTAGGTAATGTACAACACTCAAAATAAGAGAGGAGGGTACAAGCAAAAGGTAATGAAATTAGCAATCATGAAATGGAATGGTTTCATAAAGCTAGGATCTTCAACTGCTGAATGCTGGAAATTCATATTATAACCGCAGATTTTACAGACAACGGCCGCTGAAGAGTTAAACATTGTCAGCAAACGACCATGAATTTACATGATGCCATCTTAAACAGTGGCCACATTACTGTCGAAACATACATGTAATAGGAGATTACGTGGGTAGCTTTGTATAAAGTCTATGTAGGTACCTTTCGCGTTCTAGCAAGATATTTTATGTATTTCTTTGTAACATCCTGTATAGGTACATAGGTTAGTCCACTATGGTGGCTAGATTTTGTTGTGTTAACTACATGATATCTTACCATTTCTGTAGAATACAAGTAATAAACGTGGAAAACAATTGGTATGCAATTCCTTTTACACAATAAAATTAATGCAAAAAATGATGACACAGAGAGTCACAAAGTTTCAAATTAAAACCGGTAATTGCCGGTAATTATCTACGTCACTATGATTATCTAGTCACGTGACCTATTGTGGACAGACGATACGATTGTTATACGATTTGTGTTGTTGATAAATGCAATAGTTATACCATAGTTTTTGCTATAACTTTTTAGTATTGAAGACTTGACTTTATGGCGAATTCCCCTGGCTTTTTCTGTAAAAGAGAAAAACAAAAAAAAACTTAGGCTGGGTTGCACCATCTTACTTTGACTTTAACAAACGTCTTGTTGTTGAAAAAACTGTCAAACTCCATACAAAACACACACCGTTTATCGTTAAAGTTACTGTTAAAGTTAGTTGGTGCAACTCAGCCTTAATGTCAATTTTGACGTATTTTAACCGTTTTCTAAATGTCAAATTTGTATGTTGTGGTTTGTTTTTATCTCAGACTGGACTGTTTTTATTGATAAAACAAGTTTGTTCCCTGCAGTTGATTTAATTTGTAACAATGGTAATTTTCTCCTCCAATATTCTTTCTTTTCTGTTCTTGGATGAATACTGTACTAATTTATTCATTTTCACGATACGTAGTAGTTTCAGATAGAAAATTTCTCATAAATTAAATTATATTTTTAGGAAGGAGCTTATAAAGANAGATACTAAACGATAGAAGAAACATGTTACGCTATGATGCTGTTGCCATGTTGTGTTTCTTAAATCAAAATCAGCATTTGCTAACAATATAAAACGTTTTTTTTTTTAATAAATGATTATATAAAGTATATCAATCGCTTATTCTTATTTCATCATTTTGAATGTATAATTAAAAAATAGAAACAAAATTTCTTTATTCTCCGGTGATCTCCGGTTTTTCACCGGAGATTGCCCGATCACCGGTGAATTCAATCGGTTGTTAAAATCTCGCTCCGGTGCAAACCTCTACCGGTAATTGCCGGTAATTATCTACGTCACTATGATTAACTAGTCACGTGACCTATTGTGGATAGACGATACGATTTGTGTTGTTGATAAATGCAATAGTTATACCATAGTTTTTGCTATAACTTTTTAGTATTGAAGACTTGACTTTATGGCGAATTCCCCTGGCTTTTCCTGTAAAAGAGAAAAACAAATAAAAACTTAGGCTGGGTTGCACCATCTTACTTTGACTTTAACAAATGTCAGAAATCTGTCAAACTCCATACAATACACACACCGGTTATCGTTAAAGTTACTGTTAAAGTTAGTTGGTGCAACTCAGCCTTAATGACAATTTTGACGTATTTTAACCGTTTACTAAATGTCAAATTTGTATGTTGTGGTTTGTTTTTATTGATAAAACAAGTTCGTTCAATAATATTTTTTTTGATTCCCTGCAGTTGATTTAATTTGTAACAATGGTAATTTTCTCCTCAAATATTCTTTCTTTTCTGTTCTTGGATGAATACTGTACTAATTTATTCATTTTCACGATACCTAGTAGTTTCAGATAGAAAATTTCTCATAAATTAAATTATATTTTTAGGAAGGAGCATATAAAGACAAATATTCTTTTATTGGTGAATGGTACGATAACCAAGCAAGCCTTATTCGACGATTTAACGTATTCTACTATCCAACTGATGATACACTTGAGATGTTCGATTTAAAAAACCGAAAAACATTTGTAAGAAGGGTGAAAGTCAATGGAATTACTTTGGATAGTTTTTACATTGGTTGCACATTATATATTTTAGGTCGTCTTATCAAAATTGTTGATTTTGCTTGTGAAGACACAAGAAAAAAGCTGCACAAAGATATGCAAGTGTGAGTGCTCCTAGTATTTATCTGTCAAGTCTACATATTTGTTATACATATATGCATGAGTTAGACCAGGCAGTGACTTGAGATAACAGTATAGTTTCCACTGCCATACCTTACTATATCACAAACATACCATACTTTGCATGTAATTCATTCTGTCATCTAGCTGTGATCATATTTTACTTCTCCCTATAATTGCTAGCATAATGTCTAAATAGCTTTTTAATTTTTTAATTATCCCAAGCATATCTACATTTTCAGCCTAAACGACATGATTGCATCTTATTTTTTGTGGTCATGAAGAGTAAATAATAGCCAAAAAATAAATACCTTTGATTTCCAGAACCTTTGCAATGATTAAACCTATACCAACCAAAACAGCGGGAAAGATCTTAACTCACTTCCACGAGCATGGGCTGCGTGTGACACGGATGAAGAAGGCCAGGCTCACTGCTGATGATGTTAATATTCTTTACAGGACAATGCTTACAGATCCAACATTCCCGTAAGTTTGATTTCTATTAATTTATTTTTAATTATGTAATATATTACATATCAGTAACATTGATTGATATAATATGTACACATTGAGGAAGTGGCATTCCATTTCCTATCATCAATTTTCACTCCTTGGCTTCAAAATATAAGGGTTGTTTTGTGGCTTATGATTTATGAACTGTATCTTGTGTATCACAGATTTCTCATGGAGTATTTGACTGGACAACTTGTTTATGGCTTAGAATTGGTTGGCAAAGATGCTGTGTCAGTTTGTATTAAAACTTTGGGAGACAGTGATCCCCTCAAGGCAGAACCAGAGACTATTCGAGCTTTATATGGTACAGATCCTGTGAGAAACTGTGTTCATGCTGCTGCAAATCCTGATGATGCTATGCAGGTTAAAAAATAATAATATTACTAGGTTCTTCTCATTTTTATGTTAGATAATAATAGAATTCTTTATTGACAGGACATAGAGTACTTTTTCCCGCCGCCGCCGTTGCGTTCCACGCGACTGCGTTTGACCGCAACTCTGTCGAACTGCACGCTGTGTATAGTGAAGCCGCACGCCATCCGAGAGGGAAAACTGGGCGCCGCTCTCGAGGGAATCGACGAAGGCGGCTTCGAAGTCACAGCACTCAATATGTTTATTGTCGAGAACATAAATGCAGCAGAATTTTATGAAGTATACAAAGGAATTGTACCTGAATACAAGGTTCGATTATTATGATCTGAATGCCGGTATTTTTTCACTTTTAATTGAGTGAGTGATTTTAGAGTGAATGTGTTACTGTAAAAGCTCGAATTGCAGTAAATCCTAAGATATTCCAGTAAAACCTAAGATCTACCAATTTCTAATGGTAAATGTCCCAAAAGGTTTGCGATTCGAACTCTTACCACCATTTCGTTGGTAAATCTTAGGATTTATATTAATGGCACGGTAAATGTTGAAAAACAAAACATGTCATAACGTGCTCAGCGCATCTCATCATCATCATCAGAAATTACTTAAATTGTAAAAAATCGAATCTATCTTAATATTGAAGTTGCCCTCTTTGTATTTCTAGTCGCTCACTTAGTAATGTCGTCCCACGGACAGAATTTTAATATCTAAAATGGATTAAACATAACCCACTTTTTGTAAGCTTGTTCTGCATTTGATTATTAATCAATATTCGTCGTTAGTTAAGTTAATTTTTCGCTTACTCAAATTCATACCGCTCAAGTTATTAAAACAGTAAGTATGCCATCATCAGTCGCTAAGTTATTTTTAGTCGATCTTTTTTTAATTCCTCATTAAGAATTACTCATTATTTTATTCCTAAAACTAACATCTACCAGCTGACAGAGGTAAAACCTAGCATATACTGAATTCGAATGGTAAAAGCTCGAAAAAATCGTCGTATTTTCAGAAATACTTACATTTACCAACTCATGTCGGTAAATCCTAAGACTTACACTTAAATCTTAAGATTAACCGTAGTTCGAGCTTTTACAGTAACAAATGCATTGTTCTCTTTTCAGGGCATGGTAGAAGAGTTATCAAGTGGGCCTTGTGTAGCTATGGAAATAGTATCAAAAGATAGGACTCTCAATACTGCTGTTGAATTTAGAAAACTAGTTGGACCATCAGATCCTGTAAGTTGAACTTTCATTTTTTATTTATTTCCTATCAATAAAACGATTACCACATGATATGTTATGACCTTTTTTTTCAGGAAATCGCTCGGTTATTACGCCCACACACATTAAGGGCTAAATTAGGGAAAACAAAAGTTCAAAATGCTGTCCATTGCAGTGACTTGGCAGAAGACGGTTTGTTAGAAGTTGAATATTTCTTTAAAATTTTAGATTTATAAAACAAAAGGCTGGTAGTTAGGTACTTAATAATTAACTGTTGTATTATGAAAATTTTTAGTGTGATAAAATGAAATAAAACGAGATTATACATATTATTTTGTGTTATTAACATTTCCTTTAACATTTCACCAAGGCGGAGCGGAGCGGAGATGTACCGGGCCGTCAAAAGTCAGGATGCGCAAACAATAAAGAGTTTCATGGCTTCGGTCTACTATTCCGAAGGGACCGATTTCCACATGACCCGACTAGGAATTGAACTCGAGATACAGAGATCGAAATAACGTTGCTAAAAATATTTTAGGTAGGTAGGTACACGTCTTCGAAAGATGTCTACAAACATGTTTGTACGAGTACATTTCCAACAACAACCCAACCAAGTTCATTCAGAACAATTGTAGGATATGGACACAAAGGATACCTACCTACCAATCTATAGATTAGGTAGCTGGTACCGACTGTTAGTATCAGTATTATAATATGGCCCCCCACAAGACCGATGTTTACCACGGGCGGACCCAATGTAGGGGGGAGTTTATTTATAGTTACATACTTAAGAAAACTGCTGTTTGTCACGGACCACGGTGTTGATGCATGAACGAAGCCCAAAAACTTTATGAATTGAGGCTTTTTTTGGTAGAATTTAGATGTTTAGACTTAATTTACCCGGACACAATTAATGACTGAGATTAAATCGAGTTTTGAGCATTGTTTTTGTGTACGAATCTAAGTGATGTCCTATTAATTTAAGTGGTGATAATAGGGTTTCAGTGTAGGTACCTAAACTCTAGAATGCATCAGGTAGTCTTCTTTGTTAGACAATCAAAATACACATGAATGCTCCTCGATTGCTCTCTGATTAGTTCTTTGTGCTTACTTGCATTGTGTGACACCTAGCTGTGATTTAACCGGTTCCTTCTAGTCGGATCCAGGCCCCTCTTTCCCACTGGGCACTCTGGGCACGTGCCCAGGGCCCCGCGATCGAGGAGGCCCCCGTCTGTTTCATAAAAGATTTTTCTCCAGATAAGAACGGCCTCCATTGATCCTTATGTGCCCAGGGCCCCTAGTAGGTTAAAGACGGAACTGGTCGGATCACAGACTGCAGATTGCTGCTTTCCTATTCCGCGTGTGTAATGTGTCTAGATTACTCACAACTACCATCAGTCATTATCATGGATTTCATTGATTGCAACAACACATCTACAGTCGATGTCAAAGCCTCATTTTTATGCGTCAAGAAACATTAGGCATTATCTCGGCAGTCTTATCACTAGGAAGCGATCTCTTGCACAGCCTACGTTTTTCTCAGTTTGGCCCTAAGGAAGGTTTCTCAGTTTGGACCTATTAAGTCCGCCTTATGTACAGTGTCATGTAGGTACATGTAAGTTATAAATAAATAAATAAATCTCTCCCAAACTACGCAGGGGAAGACAGTTGTTTAAAATAAAAGGAGTAGACCAAACCAAATATCACAAGGGTTACACATCAACTTAGTAGAGAGATAATAAAAGTTAAAGTATTTTTATTCAGAGGTTAGACTTTATTTTGTGGTAACTACACAACAGTTTAAAAGAAGGCAACATGTCAATTAATCAACAGGATCTATTTATAACTACTGCTCATCTGAAGTCGTGCCTTGTCTAGTTCCGGCTTACTTATTACGTAGGTAAACTTGTAGGTAATTTCAAAAGTTATTTATACTATTAAATACAAAAAAGGTACCTACCTTGGTTGGCATTGGGCAACAAGCAAATGCGTTACAACATTCGTACACCATGTAAAAGACGAAGTAAGGAATAAAAAAGCGACAATGTCCCTTAAGTCAGTGTCTGACTGGCCGAATCGACATCCGAAAAACGGGTAATCTTTATGGTTCGACGAACCCCGTCGCCCTCTGGGCTATGGTGGTGAACCCACCAAGACCCGAAGGGTAGCAGGATTATTTTAAATACAATATTCTTTAAAAAATCTTGCACAATCATCAGTAGGTACTAAGAGAAAGTTATGGGTAGCAGATAGTTTCCCAGAGACTTCAAGGTACAAACATAGCAAAATTATTTTTCTGCAAAGATTTCTTCAACCAGTTTTATAACAACGAACCGTGTGGCCTCCGCAGCCTTAAACAAGACAACTCAACATCCTATTGAACCTGCTGTTCAGTTATGGGAATATCCAATTAACATTAATGAAATGATTTCACAGCAAATTTATGGGAATGACTGTCTATCAAATCAATTTCGTGTAAGCATATAATTTAAGTCAATAAGTAATGATAATTGCGTGCTATTAATCAGCTAAATGGACAATCGCAAGGGAGAAGGAAACTAGTTGGTGGGTCGTTGCTCGCGCATTTGCCTGCATAGAAAACAGTTGAATACCTTTCACTGCATAGAGGTTTACTATAGAGCATGTACTATGCGTCGGAATCGTCGCACGAATGGTGTTTGCTACTTCAACGGGGACGCATAGCCACAGGGTTGCGCTTGTGCCAGTGCCGCGCAAAACTTTCATACACGCGCCCGCGCACGCGCGACATACGCATTCGCGCAGTGTGCGTATTTAAAAACGCAATGAAATTATTATTCCACAAATATAACTAAACAATAGTGTACAAGTTTTAATTCAATAAAAAACACTAAGTTCTCTGTGAATATTAAAAGTGCCATTTTACTGGAATCGAACGATAAATTCTTTTACTGTGGAGTTCTATGATAAGGTTTTTTTAATTTGCTAATCGGTAAGTGACTTTTTATTCTGTTATTTTACTGTAGGTACTGAAAGTGCATTATTGCTTAGATGCAGTTAGTTAATNGTTAGAAAATTAATTTCTTGTTGCCTGCATGTTGAATTCAATATTGCAGATTTTTAAAACTTGCAAAAATAGGTATTAACTCCCTAAATATCTTTCATGCACAACGCAAGTAAGGTTTAAAAACTACCTACATAATTTATTAATAAATAGTTTAATTAATTATGCAACTGCTTTATAATTTTACTTTCATTTACAAATATTTTAAAAAGTTAGAAGAAGATGTTGTTTTAAGTAGGTACCTACAAAAGGGAAAACTGCTAAGTAGTATGATAATAAAGCAATAAAAGAAAACAGTTATATGTATTAAGACAATGGGCTTTAGTTACTTGAGTTACTTGATGCTCAGTTATAGACACTACATTAAATAATAATGCTTTATAATATCTATTTGGGTGCTAATACTTAATGGGAGTAGCATAGGGTTTTCAGAGTTGCAAACTTGGTTGTAAACTTCTCTCAAGAAACCTAATAACATATTAAAAAAGCGTAGATAGGCGCCTTTGCGATGTTGAATATGTCGATATTGACTGGACTAAGTAAGTAGGACTTGCCTTATTGTAAAGAGATGCAAATACCAATTTTGGTCGAAGTGTTATGGGTGTTTGTATGATTTCAAAACACATCGATACCGTAAATAGAAAGGCAAAAAGTATTTGTTATGTAATAGCAGATGTCATTCAAAGTAGAGTTATGAAATCAAATTGTCCATCATAGATGCTACAGGGTCAGAACTCTACAACTTGTAAAGATAGGTTTGCTTACTCATAACAAGTAGTAAGATTTCAAATTAACCTACCTACTTGTAGGTTATTTAATTAAGTATTATAATTTTATTAAGTAGGTAGATAAGTATCTTGGTAACTCTACCTTTTAACTGAAGTAGGCAACCGTTAGATTAAAAGCTTAGCCTATCGATTTTCTGATTCTACTAAACTCGTAGGTAAGATAAAAACATTCATTCGTGTCTTTCAATTATTTGTATTACACAACGATCATACATACACTATTAACTGAATATTGTTCGATTGCTTCTACTTCTAGATACTCTTTAACAAGGTCTAGTGCTAGTGCTTACTTACTAAATACAAAATTGGGTCAACATTTTATCATAATTTCTAATGTAAGTACTAGCACTATACTTACATAATGTCAAATTGTTTGTTTGTAGGTATATTCTAATAGATTCGTAGAGCCAGATATCAGGTTTTGGCAGGGGGTTCTGCTAGTGAGGATGCTTATCATTAAGGTAGTTATTATCACATAACAGCTTGAAACATGTAAAAGAAAAAGTGAGTGAGTGCTAGAGAGGTTTTATTTTGGATAGAATGTAGTCTCTGCTTAGGTACTTACTCTTAGGTGCGTACGTAAATTTATGAGCTTTGCCACTGTTTTAGCTGATCATGTTTTGCTTGATATCCGCTTACTTATACCTACTTAAACTAGCTTTTGCCCGCGGCTTCACCAGCGTTAAATTTAGTTTGTCACATATCGTCATAAATTATAGTAATAGCCTATGTGTTATTCTTGGTTATAAACAATAATACTGTAAAGTTTTATCAAAATCCGTTCAGTAGTTTTTTCGTGAAAGAGTAACAAACATCCAGACATCCAAACTTTCGAATTTATAATATTAGTAGGATAGGATAAAAAGTAAGTAAACCTAACCTAACTAGAACTAGATGAGGACGTGCAACATCTAGGTATTTATAAAATTTATTTTTCTCCTTTCGCATCGCAAAGTGAGTAATTGCATTGTAATGTCTACAAAGCGCATTGTCTTCAAAAACAATGTGAATTTCCTATCAATCCTCTTTAGGTCTTTGGGAATGTATTTTTTTGGGTTCTTATAAGTTTACACCACTTTATTTAATCCATCAGTTGAAAAGTTATTTTAACATGAAAGAAAAAACAAGTTTTTACTTATATTTTGAAATCCGTGTTGTTTTTTGGCTAATGATCTAATCGACGACGCGGCGACGTTAACTTGTAGACATTATTTATACTAAATTTCCCTTTTGTGGGTTAATTTTGGGCTGGTCAGAGTTGCAGTATTCATGTCAGGCAGGTCGAGGAGTCTTTGCTTATATTTTGTTACACGGCCATTGTGGCGACCCATTGTTTGCGGGGTAAGTGTGCCTCGCCGGTACTCGCGTCACGCGCAAAAGTCGAGCATGTTATTATGGCGACAGATAGCAAAACTAGTCCAAGTGTTACTTATAAACAACACTACTTATATTAGCTTAGGTTCTACCGCGACCTATGACACCGCTTCCCATGCGAAGACAAGACAGTTTTCTTGGTGATGTTGCTGTCCTTTCTTTTCTGCTTATCCTTAGTGCTGTTGCTCTTATCTGGTACTATCTGGTACCTTGCTGTTTCAGGACGGTCTTTCACCTTTTGGTAGGATTAACACAACACATCCTTGAATGCGAAACAATCTAAAGGCTCTAGTATTAGAAATAGATTTTCCTAATAAAATAATAATAAAAAATATGTCCCTTGTTTAGACTTTTCCAAAGTAAGCAAGTAGATTCTTCATAATCACACAGTTGATTACTAAGTAGATTATAACTACAGGAATAGCCTTATTTACTGCACTCTTTAATACTACTTGTTATTAATATAAAACCCGGAAAATTTTTCTAAATACCCAAATTCTTTTAAAGTTATTTTTGTTGCAGATACACATTTTCCATGCATCAAGAAAATAATCTCACGACTACACACGAGGGAGGCCGGGCGACGAAGTATTTCCCCACATAGAACCTTGGCCCTTTACCGAGTTTAGTCAGTTTCCAGTACAAGCGTAGTTACATAACCCGCCAAGATGCATTTCATACGATCGTTCTTCAAGCGGATAATTGATGATCTCAAGCTGAAGAAATTAGTCCCCTTGAAGTTATTATTCTTTGTTCATGCTTCAAGTAAGTATAATAAAGTAGTAAAATTGGTTTTCGTCAATAATTTAAATACCAATTTTATAAGATTATGAATTAGAAAAAGATGACACCTACCGATAGTTTTTATTAGTGTCTTCCGCAACACAAATGGAATACACTGAGAAGTATCGTGCGCGGGCAAATTAAGTAAATTAGTACTATTTAACTTATTAAAAAAGACAACTTAGAAAATTCACCTTTATAGGTAAATTAGCAACGTAATTTTCATTTTATGTGCTTTCTTACTTCTCTACTTACTTATAAACTCTATAAGAGTTGTGAAGTTAAAGCGCAGCTTATAAGATTTTTTCGTTGAATAGAACCTACTTAGGTATCCTAGAATTAACATAATACAATCCATTTATGCATAATGTAGATAGCAATATTTAAACCTTGACATTACATGAAGCTTCCTAGCACAGTCTAGCGAAAATAAGCTGATCATTGAAGTCGGATTATTCTATGTGATTCGTTTCTTCTTTAAAGTGTTATTTGGAATCATAGAAAGCTTAAAAATGGATTATAAAATAGTTAACTAGTTTGCTAATGCCCTGCCTGAACAATTTTAGCGTCGGTAGTGGTGCCATTTGAGAAAAGTTAATAAATAAGGACGTGGTGCAAGTAACGATATGTTTTCAGCGTTATTCGTGTTGTACCCGTACCTGACCATCCACATGCGCGAGCTGGGCATCAACGTGGAGGAGACGGCCATAATGTCGGCCGTCACGCCCGTTATCTCCATCGTCATGCCGCCGCTCGCCGGCATGCTCGCCGACAAGATCGGCAACTTCAGGGTTAGTACCTACTCGATGAGGTTATCATTGACATATTATTATGTATCTATCTTAAACCTACAGGCGCGAGATGGGCCTTAAATAACGTGGAGGAGACGGCCATCATGTCGGCCGTCACGCCCGTAATCTCCATCGTCATGCTCGCCGACAAGATCGGCAAGGGCAACTTTAGGGTTAGTATTCTTATAGTTACCGTATTGACTCGTACCTATCTGTAACTTATTGGCACGAGCTGGGCCTTAAACAACATGGAGAAGACGACCGTGCGACGCCGCGATCTCTCTAAAAAAATACATTATCACCTATTAAGATGCATTCATTTCGCTTTTCTCTAACCATAGTGCGTCTTGTGTATCCTTCGTGACGCTCGTGATTTCCATCGTCATGTCACCGCTCGCAGGCATTCTCGTTGACAAGATCGGTAACTTAGGGTTAGTACATTTGGACTATCACATTCCTATCAGAGACACGTACCGCTGGATGAATACTAACCAATGTAGAGAACGACTACCGTCATGTATGATGACATGTGATGACTTTGAACTCCAGCGTGACGATGCCACTCGCCTATAACATTGGCAACTTCAGGGTCAGTACGTACTACATAGTATCTATTATTGTCACATAATGTAATTTATCTCATACCCATTGGCGTAAGCTAGGCACAAATATAATGTGGAAAAGACGACGTCTTATGTGCCGTAATATCCGTAATCGCGATGCTGCACTCGCCGATGAGATCGGTAATTTCAGGGTTACTACTATTAGAGGCCAATCGATCTATTCTCATAAATAAAACACTGGATACTCATCTTTCACATTATATTGCCTTAATTTAGATACAATTCATCACTTAGCACAAAAGCGCGCGGAGTCGTCTCCGCGCGTCCCTCTATTCAGACGTTTGATGCTAGCGTGACATTGACGTATTGTCAATGTCACTATGACAGCATCTCATTGGCCACAACGATACCGTTATTTTAACGTTTTAGATTTTTCATTATGATTTAATTTTGTACTGTCTCTTATCTGAGTATCTGAAATCTGTTGGCAAACAAAGTGAAGGAGACAACCATAAAATTATGTACTTATTATGTGCCGTGCGTGACGCTCATCATCTTTAACGTGATGCCGGCGTCTGCCAAGATACTAGCTGATAGTATCGAAAACTTCAGGGTTAGTATATTTATTATGCATTTGAGGCGTGACCATTGTAATAGGTTTCATTATTTACCGTGATACTCTTGTAAAACATATCGGTGTGAGTATGTAAATCGTTGAGATAGTTGGATAGAGTCACAAATTTATATTTTTGAGTGATGAATTAAATATTCCGGGATGACAAACAATGACTACGTGAAGTGCTACTATACACTCTACAATTTCAGCTTTTTGTCCTTCTCGTTTTAAGTGGACATTTAACTGGCTCACAACTATGCTCACAACCGTAACCATATATTAGAACCGTTCACTGTCATATTCCCATGATATATGAACAATGAATAGTGATATCCTCATTTGGTGACCTCCTGACATCATAATCACGTCATTGACGTTATATTCGGTGCAAAATCAATTCCAGATTATGTTTTCAAAGTCCACTCCCAGCGCCCTTCCGGTGTAGGCTAATCATGTTAATCCACATCGTCCGTAACCCAAATCACAATCAATTCTGTCACAATAACCTTTACCTTGTATTGTGGTCACGGTGCTGTGCGGTGCCGCGGCCCGTGCGCGGACGGACCGGTACACGCCTCTATAAATTCCTGCTCATCGCGCTAAAGTATTTTGTGCAATAGTAAAAAACATATTTCCAAAGAATGCATAATTTATATTATAAACTTAGTTTATTCTTCGCGTCGATTGTTATTTAAACATGACGAAAGAATTTTAAACTGAACAGTTCAACGTTAAAAATCTCTATTTTGAACTACCGCGAGCTATAAGAATAATAAACATTATGGAATATCGCAACTGAAATTTTTTCGCATAATTTAATTATAACGATGTTATGATGATTAACTTGAGGTTAGGTTGAAGTAAAAAGTTGGAATTTTCTCAGAAGTCGTAATAAACAAAGGGTAACTACTAAGTAGGAAGGCACTTGGTCTAGCAAATGTTCCGTCGTATAATTTTAGTGTCAAAGCATTGCGGACGAAGTTGCGTACGAGGCAATGCGCGAGCGCGTGCGTCACAGCAGCGGTCGTAGCGGAAGCGCAGCGGCCATCACCGCCTTATACGACGCGCTACCAAATTGGACGAGCGTAGTCTTGAACTGAAGAGAACCTTAACAGAATGTACATACGACAACACACATAAAATATACATTATGTACTTATATGTCAAGGGGTCTTGACCTTTAATACAGTTTTTTTTCTATAAAATAAGGCCTGAAAATGTATTTTTTTCCTTATTCCTTTAACGAAGATTATTGAAATACAAAGGGTTTATCCCTGAGATCGAACTGGCAATAAAAATGCAAATGCGGGAACATGTCATCTTCTAAGAAAAATGAAATGAAGTAGAATTTAAAATACAATCATAATATCTAATAATGTCGGCCGTTAGGTGTAGCGGTTCTGAACGGACTACTATGCCGAGAGGTCCCGGGTTCGATTCCCGGCCGGGCAGAAATTGAAATGATGAATTTTAACTTCTGTGATGGGTCTGGGTGTTACTATGTATAATATGTATGTATTAAAAAAAAACGTATTTAAGTAGGTATGTTTATATCCGTTGTCTAGTACCCATAGTATAAGCTTTGCTTAGTTTGGGACTAGAAGCGTAGTATAAAATATCCAGGAATATTTATTTATTTATTTATTAGACTTATTCATTAATTAACACAGCGATACAAGAATCTGCATAGTTAGTCTCGCAAACCTGCTAAAGGCACCATTGCCGAGGCATTGACCGCGAATATTTATCTATACCAGTTATTAAAATCAGGAAAGGGCCAGAACGAACCTTAACATGAATTATGGTAGACCTACGTGGGATTGTAAATTTTCTGCATAGACATTATCGAGTAGATGCTCGATAACATAGCGTAACAAATTACTGACCATGGGACGTGGAATGATATGTCATTTACTTAATCAATCTGAGGGCAAGCTAAGTTAATCGAAGGTAGGTAAAAAGGCGTGTAATTGCAAGTAACCTTAGAACTTATCAAACGGTTTTCAAGCAATTATTTGTGAACAATAATTTGGCAAATGTTTGTGTAAGTTGTATTATGGCACACGTTACGTTGGAGTGGACGCACGTGAATGTTTTAAAAAGGAGAAAATTACGTAGCTAATATTATTCAAATTTTTATTTGATCAAAAAATAGGGTAAATACATAAGTGGTGTTAGTATTTTATTAAAAGTGCATTCCTATTTAGCTAATGTCAGTTAGCAGGCAAATTACAATTGATCATAATATAATAATGTCGATTGATTATAGTAACGAGAATTGGTTTGTGTGGGACATCTCTTTTATTGTTCGAAAATAACACCTATTCCTAACTATTACGAGTACCTATATAGTTACTAACTATTGCTAGTATTGAGACAATGCAGAAGATACCGAAGGAGAAAGTAGGTCGTAGATTTGAGCTAAGCGAATGTTGACCTTACAGTTGCCAACAACTTATTTAAAGCTTTAGATTACTCGTAGTTAACTGTATTTGTTGATGTGTCTATAGAATTGAGTCTTGTTTTATTTATTAAGTAGTTTTACACTAAAATGCAAATATTTACCTTATCTATTCTCGATACATTGTCAACTGTATACAAACACTATTATTGCGTGCAGTTAATTACAAAGTTATTGGCGACTAACATAATACTGGATAATTACTGCCGTAATCACAACCAAGAATTAACACACAACATCAATTTAATATCTACCATTACTTAGTTACAGAATTACTCAATCGATATGTGAGATTTAACTAACCATGTCTACGTCATATAAACCAGTATACGTGTGTAACATTGATCTACTTATGCACTCAGTGATTTCATTACAATTAATTAATTTGTAGGGAAATATCAAGTAGATTATATCCAGAGTCTAAGTAAGCTCAGATGGAAGAGCAGTCGCCCGACAAGCGAAGGGTCATGGGTTCGATTCCCACCGTAGGCAGTTCGATTTTTCATTTAGTTTAAGATGCAACTTTTAACGCTAAAAATTTTATGACTATCAAGTAGATACATAATTCTTAGCGCTATGTAGTAGTAAAAGTAATGGGGAAAACTGTTGTTCCCTTTACTTAGTCGATTAGCTTTACAAATAGAGGCAGACATTGAATGAGTCATTTGGCATCCTCCAGATAGATGTAATTAATAAGAACTACTCGTAACTAATGTTTAACAAAATCCGCTCAGTTTAAGTGGTTCGTAATGCCATTTAATTTCACACATTTAATGTGTAATGATGGGCCAATTAGTTGAACACTGACCATCAGTAGGCAATTTTCCTCCCGTGAACTAATGCCACGGTCCACGCACTCCAACATCTCTATTCTTGGATGACATTGTTGGCTGACAATTGTACTTAAAAGCGGTAATTCGTCTACTTCTGCTGATCATGCTTCGTAAACACTACATCCTGTTTTTCCGACAGTTTGACGTTCTGTTTCCAATTGAGTATTTCAGTTAAGTATTGTAATGAAGTGCTCTACGTCTCAGTAATGATAACGTTTTTTTAACTCTTAAGTCAGTTATTACATTGTGTGTGACTCTACAATAAGGACTTTAGTTGCTCCGGTTATGGATAGTTTTTGCATACCGTGTACTCACGAACTACAATACAATGAGTAAGGAAAGAGAAAGGGCATCTCTAATAAGGTAAAGTGCTGGATTAGATGAAGCGACGTAGAGCAAATGAATAAAAATGGTCGGAAAAAATGCCAAAGATCTAACCTGGTGTTTACTTGATCTAACTTCGTCTAGTAGGTAGTAACAAACGCTAATGATTATGATACTCGTAATACCTTCATGTATGCGAAAACATATAATTGGTGTAAAGCTTTATACTCAGATAGTTAATGCTGCGTCAATTAACACTGTTTGTTTTCCGAATAAGGTAAAATAAATAAATAATTATGTTTCGAACAACAAAAGGTCTTATAAAAGAGTATGTTTTCAGCTGTTGTTAGCGCTGTCATCGGCACTGGGCGGGGTGTCGGCGCTGCTGCTGCTGGCAGTACCAGTGGGGCGGCTGACGGTGACGTTCCCGCCGCAAGCCGAGCTGCTGGCCAGCTGCGACGGCGGCCTGCGCCTGCGCCACATGACTGACCACCCTTGTGAGCCACTACATCCGTACCCTTATGATGTCAATTTAACGTGAGTGAGAAACCTAATTCTATCTAGATATGGGTTAAATGTTATTTATTACTAGCTTTCCGCCCGCGGCTTCGCCCGCGTGTAGGGTTGCCAGGCGTCCGGCTTTAGCCGGACATGTTTGGCTTTTTAGGGACTTGTCCGGCCAAATATTGCCTTGTCCGGCCAAATATTGCCTTGTCCGGCCTGTCCGGCTTTTTATTTGGTTGCCGCGCCAGGAGAAAGTCGAGCCACATATGAAGTGCACGCATCAGGATGTTGGATAGCAACCGATGATGATAGTACTCACTCATGAGCTGACACAAATCCGGCCAAATGAAGCACAAAGTACGGCTTTTGTGATTTTCGACCTGGCAAACCTACCCGCGTGGAAATTTCTCTGTCACAGAAAAACAATATCGCGCGCGTATTTGCTTACCGTTTAGACCTACCCTGGACTACGACAAACATTTTAAAACCAAAATCAGCCCAATCGGCCCAGCCGTTTTCGAGTTTTAATCAGACTAACGAACATCAATTAATTTTTATTTATATAGATTTGTATTGCACAAATTACTAATAGTCCCGTTAGCCCCTCGTGGTAAGCTAAATAAGCTTGTGTTACGAGTGGGCTCACCACAATAGTCGAGCGGCGGTGGGATTCGAACCCGCGTTCCTCGGATCTCGAGTCGGCCACTCCGACCCCTTCACCGTTCGGCTATCGTGGCTATAGTTAAATGTTATTTATTATTAATGTTTGACATGCTTGCTGCGACTAGACCTGCTCTACATACCGATTTGTATCGGTGAACACTGATATTTGATATCTTTTCAGTATTGCTTCTTGCGGTTTCGTCTGCGAGCTACCGACTGACATATCACCAGAAGATATAGCTGCGATATTACATACACACTCGTATGATTTGCACGTCCAGACGCTCGATGAAGCGCAGCGACTCGTTTACCGGCACACGGTGTCATCGTTTATGGCCCAAACGAGGGCACCCAGGAAGGACCAAAGCACGTCGCGTATACTAACAAACAATGACTACTTCAATACAACTGTTGCCAGAATATCAGACCGCGAGGTCTTCTTCCCCGCACCACAGCTGTATCACATGGAATGCGCTCAAAACTCAACAGATGCCGTATGCTACTTCGGTAACAATAAAATGTTCGATGAAATTACCGATAAAAGAATAGAAGATTTATACCAACTCCGCATCACTCAAGATGACGAAAACACGATCAACGTCATGATGGGATTAGTTACTGGAAATTCAACTGAAGCTGAAGAAATTTACCAATGTAGAGACTATTTTGATGGGGTAAGATTCAGTTTGCTTTTGCAAGGGTCGTATTAATATAATGTAAACCTGTTTCATAGACTATGAACGTTTTAGGCACTGGATGAAGAAGGCGTACGAGTTCACGTAGAGTCGAAGCGGCTGACTCAGTGCTCCGCGGCGTGTGCTGGGACGGTGCCACGTAAGACTCTGTGTCAAAACAAGAATCAGCTGGTGGAACTTGACCCTGCCTTCACCTTTTGGACTTATCTCGCTGTAAGTATTTATTGATCGGGACCGGTTTTTGACCTTGAAACAGCGGATTTAGAAGATGACGCGGTCATTCGAGGATGCAATAATAAACCTAATGAGACTGGAGGTGGACCGTCATTGCCTAATTCCCAGACGGACAATTTCAAGGGGAACACGTGGAGCGTTATCGTAAACGCATGCAGATTGAGTGGCGGAACCGTTAATGGGAAGATTGTCGGGTGATCGCGGCTAACTGGCTAATGGCGAACTTGACGCGCGACCCGGCCCATTGCCTGCGGCCCCATTCCGCTGCGCCCAGTGTCGTCCTACTCCGCACTCCCACTTTTTACGCACGTTTTCTAATAGCTAATGCGTGAGAAAAATGCAATAACATCGCATTCGCTGATTAATAGCTCTCATTCTGATAGAAAACAGTTCGTAGAATGTATGTTTCTACGCATCGTTTCTTTAGTTTACCTACCTACTTATTTGGTATTTTTCTGTAGAAAAATCCTATTATACAAATTGCTATTGCACATAGAACTATTAGTTAATATGTTACTTAGTGTGTAGTTCCCAAATCGCTAATCATGAATCAATTAGACAAACATCATTTTGTAATTCAATGAAATTTCCTACCTTTGTAATTACCATACCCTACGTGACGGGAACACGCACTTACCTTTCCTATTGTTAATTTGTATGCGGAATCTTATTACAAAAATCTACGATTACGGAATTTTTAGTTTTTCACACAAATTAATCCATTTGAAGGGCACAATTTATAAACCAGTCGCCAATTGANTAAAAAGTCCGTGAACTTCTCGAAGCTCTATCTTCGGTAATACTGGATGGATTGAGGTGAAATAAAAACTAGTGTAATGTGTGTGATCTAAACTTTAAATTAAGTCATAATTTAACTTAATATTACAACTTATGCGTGTTATCCATTGATAAAGACTTGAGACCAAAGTTATAAATCAGCTATAAAAAGGGGTAGCTAAGTAAGTTTGAATGACAATCGTAAAATAACATAGTTAATCATGGATGTTACAGCCACAGCCAGCTGTGCCACTTAAATTATTTAAGTATGTTTGAGGGATGTTACATTAATGTGCTAATTCATATTTTGATTCTCTATACGTCTCTATGTATCTTATATTTTACATACTTATTTACCGATGTTTTAAGACGCCCGAGCAGAGAGACGTGATTGATATGCATCATACACATGGAAATAATAGTAAACATTATCCGCAAATGACCTTCTACCACATCCACGTTATTTTTATTCTGATTCCGCAGAAAAAATAGCGCTAAGTTATTTTAAGCAGTTTTACAAGAATGTCGTTAGTTTTTAACATACCTAATTACTTAGTAGCAATTTTAATTACTTATTAGACGTTCATGGGTAAGCTATGTATGCCTCTCCCAAAACGAGCTTAGGAGCTTGCAAGCCTCCATTGTTTCGTAATCATTAGCTAAGCCCCGTGCCGGCCTTGTCCCACATTGGGCACACATGTAAAGCTATGGAACGTTCAGCGACTGATGTATTATGAGACCTCACGATCGCTTATTTGACTAGGTTTTAAATAGATTTACGCAATTACAAATAAATATTTGACATGATTCTTGGCGAGGCCTTGTATCCGGTAGTTAACCATTTTAACAGTTGTTTAGTGTACCTGCCTATATTGAAGCTCAATTTAGATAATAGGCGACAAGCCACGATTATTACATGTATAATGTTACGATGGCATTGTAATTAAAAATATGCATGGAATGAAATAATACCAATTATTACCTAATACTGCTAGTACTAGTAATTACCTGATACTAGTTAAATATGTAGTTTTGTCATTGAATTTAAATGACATAGCAAACGTTATGGCGAAGAAAATTACACTCTATTATTACTGTTACTTTTTCAGGTGCGTGTGTTTATCGGTATAATTGGAGGAACAGCTTTCGCGATGTTCGAGGGTGCCGTGATAGCCATCATACGGGAGCAGAGAGCTGACTACGGTCTGCAGCGAGTCTACGGAAGCCTGGGAGGCATGATCTCCTCGCCTCTCTCTGGTCTTCTCATTGACTACGTGAGCAGGGGCAAGGGATATACGGACTTCAGGTAGCTGTGTGAAACTGTATGAGTTAACAAACTGTTTTAAAGTTCTAATCTGATTTCTGTAGTCATTCAAAAAATATTAATATGGAATGAGTACGAAGGGGTGCTGACCTCAAGATACTGCAGGCACTTACTGAAAGTCAACTAAAGGAGTAAAGACGTGTAATCTATGGACGATCCTGTATCACTGAGCTTTACTTGTGAAATCATTCTTTTTGACATATTTGATTTTAAGATTTAAAGATTAACTGGACTTCAAATTGAAATGTGATCTATGAAATTGGTACACCAGTAATACTTAGGTATTACTTGTCATAAGCACACTGTTTTACTTGCGCACTGGGTGCGCAGTGTACCTACAAATTTATATGATATGGGAGAGAAAGATACATATTATCTACCACCAATCGATCTAACTAAATAAGATCGGAGAAAACTGTTTACTGAGTTGTACTGACAACGGAACACCTACGCAATAGAGGTGTGTCTGACAATTACTTCCACGCCTTTTGCTATGGTTTTCTCTCCTTATCGGTGCACCAGTCGGGATGATTTGTTATTGCCCTTAATTTAATATTCATTTATGTAGCTACATGAGTCCAAGTGGTAGTAAACAACCTGTTAATGTGACCATGTAGAAACTTAAAGTATAAATCGGCTTTCAATATCTAACGCAATTTAATCTATCTATCAAGGCTAATTTAGTAAAAGATACCTACTTTGGAGTGTCAGCTTTCATTTCGTAGCGTTATCAGTGGGTTCAAATATTATTGTAAAGGGTATTACTATTTCTGAGGAGGCTGTAGTCTGTCTGCATTTTGGGTCCGATTATGAAATGAAGCTCTATGCTAGGGCACTCAGTACGTTATAGACGGTCCTGCTCTTAAGCATAGATGCATTTATAGTGGTTAAACATAAACTCGGTTTATAGCTAGTCTTCAAAACATGTTCCAGGCCTGCGTTCTACTTGTACGCGGTGCTGAAGGTAGCTTCTGGCGCCCTGATGCTGAGCATCGACCTGGAGTTCAAGCAGCCGGCACAGAACCTCCTGGAAGACGTCATCTCTGTGTTTAGAAACATCGAGATTGTCGCCTTGTTTATCGCTTGCTTCATTATGGGTAATTTATTCACTAATATTACAGTTAACATAAAATAAACAATAAGTAATTGTTACATAATTAAAAAAGATACTTAACAGTTAAATTGAGTTACTTCGTAACTCATTGCTATAATGTTATAATAAAGTGACTGTGTTTATGAATAATTAAAATAGATTAATGATAATGCTGCAGTCCGTCACTTACTTAATTCTTTCACAAAAATATTGAAGGAAATCTTGGTAATTTTAAAATTACAGGTACCGCGTGGGGTTACATCGAGAGTTTCCTCTTCTGGCTGTTACAAGACTTGGGCGCATCCCGTTCCCTGATGGGGATCACCATCACCGTGGGAGGCATCGCCGGTCTCCCCCTCCTGGTGCTGTCTGGACCCATCATCAGGAAATTGGGACACGCGAATGTGCTCTTCATCGGATTTGTGTTCTATGCCATCAGACTGCTAGGTAAAACAAGTTCATTTGATTATACTATCCGAAACGCAGCTTTCTATCCGCTTTCTGTCCTGTAGACGGCCACACCTTGTGCATTTGATATACATAGTTGTTTATCAACTATTGTCTTTACCAGTTTTCAAGACGATTTGAAACGGTTTCTATTGCCGGTCACAGACGTGTCGAGATGTTTGTGAACTTGCACAATGACAATGGGAGGTCCTACTAGTCCTCGGATCTCGAATGCAATTCGTTACTACACCTATTGTCGTCTCGATATACATGACACGTGTCTGTACTGTACCAGCGTATTGTTAGGTAGAGACAAATTAATGACTGTCTTATGTTTTCTGAACTTAGTTTCTAGAGGTACCTTAATGTCAAATGTCGAATATGAAACAGATAAAGGATTTTTTGAGCTACGAAATATGTGAACTGCTTGAAGTACCTACGTCATTTTGAACTATACCTACCTCTTAAGGGATATTGATATCAATAGGCTGTTATTTTATGCAAATACTATGTGATTTCATTACAAGTCACGTAGTAATGATGATTTGATGCTTCAAAATCGGGAGCAGCCACTGGGCTTGTTGTATTGTGTGCACCCGAGTGTGACGAAACAATGGATATTTGAAGACGACCAAATCGGTACTTATGTAGGTATTGCTCATTGACTATGAACTCGACTGTTTCATGTTACTTATTGATCGGTATTTCCTAATCTCTACAAAATTACTGAGTTAAAATGAAAGTTAAAAAGTTTACAATATGGTACATACTTCCAATGTTATTCGACATATACTTACAGGAAAGAAACCTTTGTGATTTCTCTATCGCAAAAATAGGTACATGTATTATTATAACTGAAACCGTATGTAAGTAGATGAGTTTTTAGAGTCCCAGTGTCTAGTCGTTAAGTGTGTAGAGTCGTTGCAGTAGTAGTAGGGTTGAATGTAGAGATACCTAGCCTCTCTATTATCTATATCTCACCCAAGAAAACACTCAAGAGTGTTGAAATGAGTCACAAACAAGTTATCAGGAGTAATTATCCAGCATGTAAAATTTATTGTCAATTTTTGTTTAGGTTACTCTTTGATCTACAACCCGTGGCTGTGCCTGATCTTTGAGGCGCTGGAGTCGGTGACGTCATCGCTGTCGTTCACGGCCGCCGTGACGTATGCTGCGCGACTGTCTTCTACCACCACCGACACCTCCGTGCAGGGTCTGCTTGGAGGGCTCTACTATGGCGTGGGTAAGTAAACTGCCAAAACGTTGGTCTCAAACGCTACCCGTCTTCTTTGTGCTGTCTAAAATCCTCCACCACTGCCGAAAATACTTGGATTCATTTCCACTCCATGCAAAGTCAGGTGGCTCTATACAGGGTGTTAGGTAAATGGGTAAATGAGCCGACACTAGCCCATGTTAACATGGGCATATAAATGGTATGGTGAAGTCAGAAATTTGATATCATCATTTTAATTTTTTTAATTTTCATACAAAATTAATTTTATAAAATACGATTTGTATGAGAAATAAAATAATTAAAATGAAGATATCAATTTTCTGACTTCACCATACCATTTATATGACCATGTTAACATGGGCTAGTGTCGGCTCATATACCCATTTATTTACCTAACACCCTGTATAGTGGTAACAAAAGACCAACATGGTGAAGTAAGCTACATGAAACACCATGTCGGTGTCTATTTCCCTTGTGATGTCGAAGGTCCTCTATCAGTTCCAAGATTAAAGCGTTTCCACCACTGTTTTGCTTCCAAATGAAGTCTATATATTACAAAGATTTTATAACTACAAGACTACAGTTTTAAGTAGTTGTTATGTTATAATGCAAAGAGTTACCTAACTTAGTTTTAAATTTTCGTTACAGGTCGTGGTGCTGGAAGTTTAATCGGTGGCTACTTGATGAAATATTTCGGCACGAGACCAACCTACCAGATATTCGCCGCTTCGACGTTCATCACGGGCTGCATCTACTTCTTATTCAACAAATTCTTCATCCGCAAAAGGGTGACCTCTACCGACGCTGACGACATCTGTAAAAAGAAGCCCGCGGTTCTTGATGTCGAGTGCCGAGAAACGATGAACATGGAGGCCAGCAAAGAGAAGCCAGATGTCGCTAAGCTCGATAGCAAAGCAGAGAACGGTCAGGACAAAACCGCACCGCTAGATTCCAACCAACAAACTAAACTGGCGCCAGATAGTATAGATGGCGGTAGCGACTCAGGCGTGGACAACCCGGCTTACAATGACACCGAAAACTCTAGCGAACGAAAAGAGGACGTGAAAACTAACGGATAGTATTTTACCAATGAGAATAAAATGACAGAATAGATTAAAGTTGACAAATTATTTTAAGTGTAAGTATAAGTTAGACGTAATTATATTAAATTGACAAACTATAGTCATACAAATAATATGTAAATAAACGATTATTTATAAATAAAATGTTGTTAATAAAGATAGCTTATTTTGAGTTTTAGTGCAAATATGTAATTATTTTTTATAATCACACAACTATCCTATCTCTCTCTATCCTAAGGGGTCCAGGTAATAATAAAATAAATGGCCAGTATTTATCTAATAATATAATACGTATAAGTAAATAGCTCCTTATTCTTTACATATCGCGAAAACATATTGGACAAATCCATCTAATCTAATCTTTCAAGTAGGCATACTTGACCTACGTCATAAATATTAATCAAATATAGTTGGTATAAGATAAATACAACTAGTAAATAAATTACGATTACATTACCGCACCTCTTTACCAATAAACATAAGCTATTTTCAAAAAATTAAAGCTCTACCTAAGTTTTTTGCAAAATTATTCGTAACTTAAAAAGTGACATGCTCACAGCGTTTATTACATTAAACTTTTTTAATGTTAAAAATCATACGAGTAATTATTACATAATGCTCGTTTTTAGGGAAGACTGCTGGATGTCCATTACAAAACGTTTTAAATGTGAACGAATTACGAATAAAATATAGAAATGGTACAAATAAATATGCAGTACCTTCGCACAGTTAAGTGATTACTTTACCTATGGATTAACATCGGTATTTAGATTAACGGGAACTCCGAAGGGTTCCCATAATTAGCACTAATGTACTGCCTACTTAATTTGTGAAGCTCGTGTTTTGTGTTGTGGGACTGATCAATTTTCTAATTGAATTTTCATTACCTACCCACATTTTAATAGCCGTTTAGTAGGTGACCAAATCGAAGCTTTGTGTTTAAATGGTTACTAGTAGAATCGTCTACAAATACTTTTATCTGAATTAATTACGTCTTACTTGTAATATAATTAAATAAATTACTTTTAAAGTATTTCTAGAATGGTAGCTTATGAAAAATATGTAAAAGTTAGGAAAAACATAACTCTTTATTCTATTTCCAACGGCTCAGCAGGAAGGAGTAAAATTCTGGGGGAGTACAGTTAATTTATCCATTGCTTATTTATCTATGTATATTCTTTACTTATTTATTGTAATGTTGGTTGGTGATTTAGGAATAACACTGAAATATGTAAAGGTTCATTAGGGTAACTCTACAATAAAGACATATGGGTACACATAGTTACAAATATGTTACACAAATATGGAACACTTTCCACCGGCCCCAGCAGCGAGCGACATCGGCGGTGGTTAATAGTGCAAATTGCAGCGGCGATCTGGATCGTGCTTCAGCTGTGCCACATAAGAAGTACCGCTACCAATTATCGCAATTTCACACTCGATGCTTCAAAATGTGTGACATTTCAAAATCTTCGACATAACCCTTTATTTTTAGTTACTACTCAGACCTAGCGGACTTCACTCATCTTCAGCGGTCTACCGATGTACAAATAAAATCACAATGAAACAAGTTACACTTTGTACGGTGTTAGTGTCTCTACTGATATACAGTTCGGAAGCAGTGAATATACTATCGCGTCCGTCGGTTTTTGTGGTTACCCCATCGCCGCGGTCACAATCAAACAATGAAGCGCGTTCGGCTCCGTTTTACTACCACAATTGGATGAGAAGAATAGATTCGCCTCACAACGCTACCACGACCACAACGACGCCAAAGGTGAAGACCCCAGACTTAATTTTCGCAGAGTTTGAATCCGATGATGGGAACAACATGCGAAAATCTATTCGAAAATTATTGGAACAGGAGAGAGTCGCTGCCAAGACATCGACGACGTCGACTACCACAACCACGACCTCGCAGCTAATATACGTACCTGAAGAAAACGTTAATGATGTGGTATATTCAGTTCCAAAGAAGGAAATAAAAGACGATAACGATCAAAACAGTGAAGTGGATAAAACAGACTATTTCGCATTGTATAACAATTTGTATAATTCTCCTGTGTATTTACCCAAAACGAGCTCCACGACTTCTACGACCACTACGACAACGACAACTACGCCTGCACCATCTAATGTCGAAAATATTTGGCATATTATTGATAACGAAAGACACAATCAGTATGTTGATAAATGGGAAGAAGTGGCAATTACTTCAAACAAAGACGAAAATGATGCGACTGAAAAATCTCAAGAAAACGTTTTCACAACGACTGAAGACACTCAGGTTAATGAAGACTTCGCCTTACCAGGGTAATTTTCTAATCTAACTACGACCTAGGCAATGTGTGAATTGAAATGTGAAATGTCTTAATAACATAATTTTCTCATTGTTTACAGATTTGGCACGAATCCTGGCAACGGAGCTGAAAATGAATCAAGAGCGATTCGGACTGAACCTAACTTCCGTTTTCCATATGTCAGCCTGAAACCATTTCAAGTAAAAAACTCAAAGAAACCGATGTACGATGTATATTCCAATAGCAAAAAGAGTAATATGTTTACGAATTTAGACAACTTTAAGGAAATGAAAAATCCAGTGAGAGGGGAGGTTCAAGACACTGTACATATGCAACAACCAATTGATCGGTACAATCCGGCACAACCTTATTTACCAAGTGAATATGGAAGTAAATCAAAGCAATCGAGCCCTAATTCAGCGCCACCCAAGGCGGTGGCAAGTTTGGTGCCTCCACCTCCTCCACCACCGAAAGCAACTGGAGATGATTTTCCAATACCAACTAATTACGAATCCTTTCCACCGTATCCCCCATCAGCACCATCGCCGGTGGCAGCACCAGCGCCACCACCACCTTCGCCAACACTAAGTCCTCCAGTGTCAATGTATCGACCTCCAGCTGATACTTCAGATGATTCGGGACCGGACACGTCTGATAACTCCAATGATTCTCCAATGGACTTAGGTTATAGATATAAGCCCCCTTCATTATCCTTCGTTCCTACACTACCGCCTGTGAACAAACCTTTCTCTGGATATTCCTACGGCAAACCAGGAGGCGCTGCCGATACACCACCAGCTATGGATACTCATGGATATACTTACAAGAAGCCTTCAATGTCGTTTGACTCACCCCCGAGCATGGATATGGGTGGTTATAGTTATAACAAACCTCAAATGGATTCACCGCCTGCTTCAGATGACAAACCTGATCTCCATGGCTATTACGATAAGCCACCAGAAGACCACCACCATCCAAGCTATGATCATCATGGTCCTCCATCGTATGGTCATGATAGTGACTATCCAGAATTAATATTTAACAAACCCAACGGTGATATGGATAGCGGTAAAGGTGGCAATGATATGAAAGGAAATGATATGTCTGTAATGGCACCACCACCACCACCACCGTCTGATGAAAAACCAGGAATGGATTCAGGACCTCCAATGGATGATAGCGGTTTTCCTCATGATTTCCCAAGCAGTTTTAAATTCCATCATCATGGTTTCGACGACGACCACGATTTTCATCATTATCATCATCCCACAACAACAACTACTACAGAGACCCCTCGTGTTAATAGGTACAGTTACTATTATTTAGGCAAAAAATTGTATTACTTACCGTTGTATTTTAGTGTCTACTTTATTGTATACGTAGGAGCCCTTATCATTAAAGCGGTCCTTCGGCACAAAATTGTGTATCCGAACAGTTGGCGACCGAATGACACAACAGCTTCATTCTTCTCCAAACGATCAGTAGACTCATGGAATCTTACAAACGAGAACTTACACGAAGTTACTGGGAGAGTGACGAAAGCTATTGCTGAAGCTGCGGAAAAATACATGAATGAAAAGGCGAAAACTGAATAAAAGAGGAATTTAATTGTGTAAACAACAAAAGCCATGTAAATATTAGTGTTAAGTTTTTAGGGTGTTGTGAACTGGACATGCTTAATAAGCGGAAGTAACTACGGTACTTAATTTGAAAATTAAACAGAGTTCATTGTCACAACATAAATAATAAAGTTTAATGTTATGTGTAGTGTGTGTTTAGGTATATTACATAATTATGCTCAAATTGCTCAATAAAGTTTTTGTCTTATAATAAGTCTTTAATTATAAAGTTAATTGGAATAAAAACAAAACATGTTTTGTAGTGCAATTATTATGAAGTAGGTAGGTTGTATGTGTTCACTCCTAATCCTCTTTATATCCCTTTTGGAATACTTTGTTCAGCCTATAGAATAAGTCCCAGTAGGCCACTCTGTCATGGAAAGGTCTTTTCTGAATACTAAGTTCCGAATCTATATTGAGACAAGTCAGGGATTCTTTTGTAACAAGCGGCCATTGTACTGGCAACAAGTCGCTGGTCTCGGGAATGGGTTCACTGAAATAAATGAAAATTGTTACTATAGACAGAAGAAGTTAAATTGACAAAAATGAATAAATGAATGCCTTTTTAAAGGTAATAAGATCTCTCTTTAAAATTCCAGAATGTACTAGTAGGTACTTGTTTGCAACTTACCTATATTTAACAAAGTTTGTCCACAACGTTGTCATTCTATCAATTACGAGCTGATCATCAGATGTAGGCGATTCGTTGAAGGGAGTGAAATCAAACAAATACGTTATTTCATCGGCATGTGATGCACCGCTGTCCGTAATGTTGAGCCTTCTTTTTACAAAATTTCTGTCCCCATCGTAAGAAAATAAATAATGATATACATTATTGCCTCCATTTTCTAAATACTTCTGAATGAATCTGTAGTTCGGATGATTAAAAAAGAAATCTGAACTAAAATCAGATATTTCCCATTTCACACTTGCACTTATATCTTCATCACCAATGTAGAATTGGCGTACATTTTCCGCCACTCTGGCAAGATGTTCACTATCGTAGGTAAAGTAGCTCTCTATTGTTTTATAAAACTCATCCGATTCAAATAATTCAGGACCAGCTTTTGCGTAAGTGCCGAGTTGTTCTCTATTATTGAAACCAATTAAAATGGGGACTGATTTTGCATTAGGTATTTCAACATTAATAGGATGATCGGTTATGAGGCTTTCAACATTATCAAATTTATTCTCAACACAAGGTAGATTCACAATTCCTGTTGCCTCTGTTGCTGCTAAGATTAGATCCGTATCTACAGTTCTTAAAAATTCTAACGCATCATCTGAGTTGGTTGCCACAAAACCTAAATATTGAGCTAGCTTCAATGGTGCATTATAATCCGGTTCAGCAATTGCAAATGGTGCTAATGGAGTGCCACTCTGTAGAATTACGTTACGAAATAGTTCCTCTTGTGTATAGATAAGGTGAAAACCTACTGAAACTGCACCAGCGCTCTCTCCAAAAATCGTTATTTTGTCAGAATCTCCGCCGAATGCTTCTATATTGTCCTTAACCCATCTTAAACCCAGCAATTGGTCTTTGAGACCTTGGTTTCCAGGTACTTTAGGGTTATCAAGACACATAAATCCGTATGGTCCAAGTCTGTAATTTATCGTAACTAAGATGACTTCATGTTTGACTAAATATTTAGGGCCATAAACATATCTTCCGGCGAATCCTATGGAAAAGCCACCTCCATATATCCAGACTAGTACTGGTAGGCGATTTTTGGAACTGGCAGTGCTGGGCACATACACATTGAGGTGTAAGCAGTCAAGCGTACCGGTCAGGGTTTGGTTAAATTCTTCTCGTTGAGGACAAATTGCTGAGTCATCGTAGGCATCAAAAGTGCCTTCAAAGCCAGGATGAGGGGTCGAAGGCTGAAAGACATGAAATTAATGATTTTATCAAACGGATTCTATGTATATTAGTAGGTATTCAAATTCAAATTATTTATTGCATGTCACATGGGTAAGGGTTGACAGAAACATAATATTGAACATGTGACGCCCAGTGAAGGCGTTGCAAAAACTTAAAAATAACATTAAATAAAATAGAGAATTATTACCTACAATAAAATTAAATAAACATTAAAATTATAAAATCAAATAAACATTAAAATTAGAAAATTAAATACTATTAAATTATACAATTTCATTATTATTATTATTATATAAACAAAGACAGACCATTGCAAATAATAATAATAATAATAATAATAATAATAATAATAACCACGCTTACACTACAAACCTCCTAAGACATCAAATGAACCAGGATACTTGGCATAAGCCCGTACCTGTTTCATTACTGCCGACTACGGTCGAGATCAAAATTCTTTTGAAAAAATAATAATAATAATAATAATAAGCCCCCCAAAGTCTAACCTTACGTCCGCGCTTGAACATCTAAGCCACGTGGGGGGCGGACACCTACAAAGCAATTACCATGTAGGTGACCAACAGGGCTATAGCAACNCTAAATAATGCAAATCCAAATATGTGTTCAAAGGTATAATCGCGCACTAAGTTTGCATGAACTTGACGTTCATATCTTACTAAAGAAATTGAGTGGGTACATTGAGAGAGAAGGAGATAAACTGAGAATTAAATGAATGTGCAATTAAATACCCTATTTCAAACTTACCCCAAATGGGTTCGACGGGTCCACTGTCGCAAATGGTATTCCCAGAAACATAGAATATGTGCCGTCTGGTGATGTGAGGCCTCTGATCAGCCCTATCTTTGAGTCAACCAACGGGTCTACTCGAGGCAATCCATACGTTTCGAATATTAAACACAGTAGAATAGGAATCACACATTTTGCCCCACCCATATTTGTCACGGGTCGATACTCAGAAGAGTATTGATCAGTGTTCGTTTTGTGACTGTCTTAAAAGAGCACCTTATCATGATAAAGACATTGCAGATAAAAATTTTACATAGTTTCCTAAGGGTTCTTACATAATGTAGTTTGTTCAGCTGACACTTGAACAAACTACGTTAGAATAATAGCTTGGATTACTTGTTTTAAAGAAATTGCATCCTTCAAGGTTGTTTCGCCTAATGAAATGGTACGGCATTGTACTTGAAATTATGGGACATTTTCTTTAGACATCTTTTATTCATGTCCATCATAGGCCTATGACCTATAATATTTTGCAAAAATATTAGAATTTATTTATTTTACTTTACCTACAACATTGCATCAACATAATAGCAGCGTAGATATTTTTGTTTCTGTGTTTAATTTACCGGTAGATACATATCTATTACATACTATCCGATTTTGCTGACATAGCTGCGAAACACTAATCTTTGGTTTAAAATCTATCTCAGGGTTAGGAACGTTTGATAAATACTTGTCTAGGTATTGGTGTCATAAATATTTATCTCTTTCCGAGATCAAATATGATAGCTGAAAACGATAAGAATATCTCTTCTATGCATTTAATCTAAACTGCAGCATATCAGTCATTGATGAACGAGACGATTGTTACACGCGATGGCATAGTTTGAGCCAACTAAGTACCTTTTTATTGCACAATGGTTATTGTAAGGTACACTGTAATGATGTTATTTCTATTTCAAACTAGCTTTCCGCCCGCGGCTTCGCCCGCGTGGAATTTTGTCTGTCAACAAACAAAAACACAACAAAGAAAAACAATATCGCGCGCGTATTTGCTCACCGTTTAGACTTACCCTGGACTACGACAAACATTTTAAAACCAAAATCAGCTCAATCGGCCCAGCAGTTCTCGAGTTTTAATCAGACTAACGAACATCAATTCCTTTTTATTTATATAGACAGATTAACCATCATGAAGAGCTGATAAGTTTATAGATAAACAATTGTACAGAAACCTAGACACGATGTAATTATCTCACGGGTGTTTAAGCTGCAGTAGTATACATCATTATTATTACATTGTTCTGAAGATACGTTAGAGTAAGTGGCACCTAGTTGGAACTTGTAAGTTTAAGTAAGTATACATACATAGAGTCTTTCAAAAATATAACTAGTGTATTTTTTAAATTATTGTACAGGATAGGTCATAACTGCTGAACATATGTCTCCCCCAAATTGATCGACATAGCCCAACATATAACCATTTAAAGGTTGCAGAAAGCGGCATCCAGTGCAGGCCCAATAGTGAACTTATTTATTAGTACACANTGTACACATTTTTACAATAGGCTAATTATCATGATATTAAGTTCTACAAAGTTAGCATATATCAAATACATTGATATCACCATCCGCTCCGAATACCGACGGAATCGCGTCCAATTAGATCGTCGCAATAGCTTTCACTGTCTCCGGGGACACAAATTAAATTCACACATCCCGCACGTGTGCTATGTTTACGCAAATCATATTTGAAGCGTTCCCTTTACGCGGTTAACGGGAGGAGACATTTTCAAATCAGCCAGTCGGTTGGCCGTCGCCTAGCTGTGCACTTGAAAACCTGAAAAAAGAAAACCTTTTCATAGAAGTGAAGATTTTTTTTTTGATAGCTGTAGAGATAATAAAGAGCTGGTATCTTCACTGCAACTCCTGTGTAGCCAGGATATAAATCAATTAAACTTAACCAGTGAATAGTTAGGGTTACACAAATGGGTTCCAAAGGCGGTTTGTTGTTGACGTGTCACATTTTCGTGTGGGCGGCGGCGGCGCTGGCGCTGTGGGCGGCCGGCGCGAGCGCAGCGGTGCGCTACGACTCTGCTACGCCGCACACGCCGCCCTACTCCAAGTACAAATACATACCGTTACAGTGAGTATTACATATTTTTTCATGTTTTCATTGTAGGGTTCTAAGACAGTATTTTTATGTTTTAATTGCTTATTTATTCGTTACGTGTTTTTGTGACAGAATATTATCTTTGTTCAGATGCAGAGACTAAGGTGTCAATATACCGTAATGTGAACATAATTTCGATTATAAAACTCTAAAAGTGGGTTATGACTATTCTGATTCTCTAAATGCATTGATAAAACAATTAAGAGTATGCAGAAGCCTATAGATGTTAAAGTCAACCCCCGTTAGTGCTGGGTTATTATTACCAATTCGATGTTTATTAAGGTACCTTTACTGTACCTGTTTAAAGATCCCTTATCTTATGTGCAAGTACAGTACCCCAATTCAAATGCATTTGTCGAGAGTAGAAATCGTCTGTCAAATAATTTTCTAGTAATCAATTTTGAACTGATTGTCAAGGTAATACAGTTGAAAATTGAATATCAAAGCCAGAAGACGCCTAATGTCATTCAGCCGATGGTAGATGCCAAATTTCCAATATCGCGTACGAAGACGGAGAACTTTGTCAATATAGTGGTACATAAGGGTCATAATTAGTGGATGCCGACGATTTTCGCGCTGTCATCTCAACGACTGCCCACCCTTGTCGTTAGAGCCAGTGTTGTTGTCAGTTTATCATTTTTATTTCATCATCATCATCATCATCATCATCATTTCAGCCGCAGGACGTCCACGGCTGAACATAAGCCTCCCCCAATGATTTCCACATCGCACGGTTGGTAGCGGCCTGCATCCAGCGCCTTCCTGCTACCTTTATCATAATCATTATTTTTGTCAATTTTATTTACAAAATATAAAAATCTATTACGAGCTTACAGTAATTCCACAACGAAACTGAAAACTTTCCAGCAATGAACAACAGTTTGACCATGAAGATTCGCCGTCACTAGAGGATCCAGAGCCTCCGAGGAGCGGAATGCCACCTTCTGAGCTGATCCTCACCGGTCTACGTACCCTCTTGGACGTCGTGAGGAACATCAACAAGAAGCGAGCAAGCGCCAGCGCCAGGGTGGCTGCCCACAATTCTACTGCAGTTATGGTACGCTTTTGAATGCCTAACTTTTTGCCTTTAAGCTCTAACCCCCGTTTTCTGAATTATATTTTTAGCTTGAAGTTCTCTACTCAATGACTAAACTATTTAAATGCTCAAGAGTTCTTTAAGTTGAAATTCAGAACGCTCAAGCTCTTTCTTTCTTTCAAACTTAATGAATAGGTAGTATTACTTAATTTGTGATTACACAACGAAGTGCCTTCACACACAATCGACCTTTCTCTTTCATGACATTTTCCAGTTAAATGACAAAGACGTAGTTAGGTTATTGTCCCATAAGGGACTAGTAAAAATGGGCATAAATAATCTTTAAAAGTATTACTGGAATATTAAACCGCTACCAACGGTTTTTAGTTGTTTGCTCGGCTTGATGCAGAATATTTTATCATTAAGCAAGTTAAGTACTTGCAATAACTATAAACATTTTTACCGTGGCAGAATTTGAGATGATAATCTCAAATTATACGGTTAAATTACGGTGCTTTTTTTTAAAAATAGTGACGAAAACTAAAATATTATGGCGTTCCAGTAAATACTGATACATAATTCAGCTTATTCATATACAAAATTGCGACACGACCCCTATCGCGTGAAGTTAATTTCGCACTTCAGTGATTTTCCTCGGACCATAGTTTTTCACAATTTCTCCTTATCATTTACTTTCATGTGAGAATGTGTGGCTGAAATGGAGGCAAATGGACCGTCGAATTTTAACTTTTGTACTTTTAACCTTGACTAATAACCTTGGCCATACAGTTTCAATTACCTAAGTTTCAGAAGGGGTTGCTAAGGTAAACTGCTGAAACTGATTGTAACTCGCATTACAGTACTAAATGCCTTGGACGTGCTAATATACAGCAGGTTTAAATATATTAATACACATGAATGGTCTAAGTTGGTCACGGTAACGGTACCGCCTGAACTAGGTGACCGGGTGTCGTTAAACGACGGCACCCTTGTTTAGCCAACCACTCATGCCGGGTTCACACGATCGTGCAAATTGATAGTAGACTTGGTGCTAGGAACTGACCAAATTAATGTGCACGATAGGAAGCGAAGCATTACGATTATGATATTCACGATAATTGGAAACGAGAAAGTTTGAGTTGTGGTGCATTTGTTATGCTATTAAGACATTCTCGTAAGTTAATGCATTGGTAAAATCATATTATTTACTCGTATATGAGTCCTTACCCAAAGGACATATTAGCTACAGCTCTTAGTGAAATCAGTTGATAGCTATGTATTCGTGTATCTAGCACCAATCTTTATTTAGGAAGGTTTAGATGATGCTGCAGTGCTTTGTTTTGTGCTGTCGTTCGCACAATCATCTCTTTCGATTCCTTTCAGCTACGTAAAGCTTCTTCAAGAAATGCCACAGCGGAGAGCGGGCGAGGGTTCGAAGACTACTATGATGAGCATCCTCATGACACCACCACCACCGCCAAGCCGATGAAGCAGGGCCGGTACACCGACCCCTGGGCCGGATACTACGACTGGATCATCAACGAGGGATCCTTCAAGTTCTGGAGCGTCTTCCAGGTGAGATTTTACTTTCAATAATTACGGGAAGATATTTTTTCAGCCCATTCACATGTGCAAGATATTTTCACTAGTCAAGACGTCTGTGGCTATTAGATCCAGGTCGAATTCAAATTTTTGAAACTTAAAAAGCTTTTGAAACAGTATGTTAAGTTATTTAACTTCTTTAAACGTTCAGTTCAATTTACTTTGGAGGTTAAATTAGAGACAATAACTTATTCTGTACTCTAATTTACAATTCAAAAAGATGTGCAAGAGACCTACAAATAAAGATTTACTATACCCATTTCTAGGTCACATGTCTGAGTATGTGTCTACATTGAAGGCATACTCTATCTGACTTGGTATTTATTCAAGGTTTTGTTCCAAGTTACAAAATAGTGATTGACACAATGTACATACCTACATACTAGGTATTTGCATGTTTATGTATGTACATAATTATAATGACACACTTGTTCTAAGTTTCCTGTATCCTCGGCATTGTGGTCAACCTTTTATTTGACAAATTAGCTTTGTCGTTTACAAATAAGTACAAATAGTTCTGACCTCCTGGCCACCCTAGCGCATCGTAGCGCAAAAATATTTTCGTTAATTGATCCGCTTAAAAAACAAGTACGGGTTGTTTGGCGATCAAAACGCGTAGGACGCCGAAGTCATAACATTGACATAGTTTTGTCAGGCCGCGGCCCGTCAGGCATGGGTGCCACCTAGGCCAGGCCCTCGCATTTATCGGACCTTGCTCGAGTCATTATACTCCACCGTTTCCTACTGTTTTTCCTTAATACCTGAATTACTTTGAATGTCAATAATCATTAATAGCTTAGATTTTTTACCGTATTTGTTATAATTGCTCCAATAGAAGTGCCCTCCTTATGTTAAAGTAATACTTTATTTACTGCAAGATCGAATTCCTAGCTGTAATTTACGTGCTTAATGCGTATTGCTCGCATGAACTGCAACTACGAGCGAGTTCACTGCACCCGCGCTTGAATTCACAGTAATGGGTGGAAGCTGGGGGATCAATCATGCATACAACAACCACCACTCAATACCATTAACTGTTTAAAATCTTTTCCAAGTATAAATGCCTGATGTATATTCCCACATAATTTGCATACATCGCCTACGCGGCTTTGTTTGGTCTAAATAATTATTAGTTGCAATAATATTACTATGAAACACGAATGGACTGCCGGTTGAACATATTATTTAACGTGACCGTAATTACTAAATGGTATCATCAAATGTTTCCGGATTTTTTACTGGAATGATGAATCTACGTCACCTGTAGCAGAGAATTTTGTGATAAAGTCACAAAAGCGGCAACAGGATATAGATATACATAGATAATAGATAGTATGCTACAATCATCACTGTGTTTAAAAATAAAAAATATTTATTTAATACTCGTAATTTAGTCAATGATGTAATTTTTCTATTTATAATTTATGTTAAAGACATCTAAATATTATAAAACAAACTAGCGGCCGCCCGCGACTTCGTACGCGTGGATCCCGTTTTACCCCCTTTTCCCGAATTTTCTTTGCTATAAACCTCACGGAGCCCGAGACCTTTCCAACGAATGCAAAACCGTGGAAATCGGTTCGTGCGTTCTGGAGTTATAGCGTCAGGGAGGAAAACCCGACTTATTTTTATATAGTAGATTAGTAAATGAACAGGTATACTAGTTAGACAGTAAAATGTATCAAATTAAAAATCAATTTGTTACGATCACATTAAATTGTCTGGGAGCTGTTAACCCGTTAATTATGCTGTCATGTCAATCATTACTACAATTATTATTAATGAAATTAAAATTACTTTTTTATTGGTTTGCTAAATGTAATTAATTTCGGTGTTTGAATTTTTTTATTGATTTCAAACACTGCTTTGTACATTTATTGCCGTGTTGTCGTCTCTAACTTATTTGATCTAGTATTATTTATTGGTAGTACGGAATTTTCATGATACCTTCAATTTTATAGCGAAGTTCATTGGTGTGGTCAGTAGTCCCATGCCTTTGCATTAATTAGCATGTCACAGATTATGCAGTGCGTAATTAAATTAATCATCGCTTTGCAAAACGCATGGAGGCTGTTCTTTGTCTTCAGTGGGTTTTTTAACAAACATGGTTTTATTTTGCAGTCACGATAAATGCATAATAATGTTATATTAGGAAGCTCGACTAAAGAACCAGGAATAAAAACAAGAACCTAAATATAAAATAATACCATATAATAAATGACGTTAACGGAATTAATTTACGAATAACTAGAGTTTAATATTGATAATTTTATATTAGTAACGGATCATCGTTAATCCAGATTTATTTGTGTTTAATTTTACTCTAAAAGCAAAACTTTTACCAAAATTCTATCTGTCAAAATACACATTTACACACATCATATCACAAAACGTAATACAAAGTAATTGAATATGAAATCACGACGTCCCCGAGGGGATCGTGGTCGCGCGAAAAACAGATTCGCAGCTCGCGTTTGCTCCTTGCACGAGTGTGGTAGCATATTCAGAACATCATTTTGTTTACGTAATATAAGCAGCCCCAGGAATATAATGTAGTTATGATGAGATCGTCTTTTTGTTTATTGTCTTGATTATATCGAATATCATCGAATAAATAAAAAAAAGAAGTACCTAAGTAGGTATGTAAATCTTCGGAAGGTTCAATTCTTTGAAGAGAGGAGGTCATATTAGTTTTAAATAGTCATTTACAGTAAATTGTCCATTTACAATATACTCAACTAGATAGGTACATAAGATTATAAATCTTTTTAGTAACAATAATTCTACACACCAAAGTTATAAGTAACTATTGTAATTCTGGACTCTACATTTCTTGTATATATGTGTGTTGTAAACAACTGAGGTCATAACGGTGACACAAGCAAAGTGAAAACTTAAAATTCTATTACTGAAGTTTGCACGTGTGCCCACATTAATTCAGGACAATCCCAAACCTCAAAACAGTCCAAAACCGTGTAATTTAAATTTTACCTTGAAACATTTCAAAGTTCCCATGAGTAAGACACATAAATTGTCATTACCACACGACAAGGTTCCATACCTTGAGGCGTATAGACTCTGCAAACGTAATTTTTAGTTAGGCTATTTATTAACCGCCTATCTGTTATGGTCGATTCATTTATAGACATTCCATTATACATTACTCATCCCTCCTTTTCTGTAGGCACAATAAGAAATCAGATTTTTCTGAAAATCGTCTTCAATTCGTTTATGTGGCTTTGAAACGTTAATGCTCAGTTCCGGAGGCGTGCGGGTCGCGGTATTGAACCCGCGCGTGCAGCGTCTATTATTTTATCGCTGGTTCCGCGCTCGGAAGCTATCGTTCATTTGTTTCAACGAACTTAAGCGATCAACTCACACCTCACTATTGTTGGGATCATGTAATTTGAGTACATCAACTGCTAAAACATTCCGATGAATTCATTAATCAAATTGCAATTAATTTTTTGTGCGTTAACACGGATCTAATGGCTAATAAATAGATTGATGCGTAACTCGGACTTTAGCCAAAGCTATAATTTTTTATTTCAGTCTAGATTTATTAACGATGATGTGGATCTAATTTTCTTGATTAAAAAAGCCTATTGCAATAATTTTATCAATAAAAAATCCGAGTAATTACGTGATGTCTACCTAGATTTCATCGCTACATATTTGAAGAGATTTATTTATTGTTAAAAATAAAAGTTAGGTTTCAAATGCAAATAAATAAACGCTACGGCAAGTTTGCGCAGTTCAATCGCCTTTAATTAAGCAAAATAAACAAACAATCTTGACTCCGGCACCCACACGACGATGATTGAATCAATCAACTTAATATTACCATTAAAATTAATTTGCTACGTGAATCTCTTAATGAGTTCATTAATGTACTTAAAACAAATTGTTTTATACGTTTGAGTAACGTGAGACACGATCGTTTGGGAGTTCTGTACCTCTAGTACGAAAAACTTTCGAGTTCGTTTCGTTGCGTATTCAAAGTGTCATCGAAAAATTTTGTATGAAAAATTAAACAGCGCCCCCTATATTATAGCCGCCCTAGGGGGCGCTGTTTAATTTTTCATACAAAATTTTTCGATGACACTTTGAATACGCAACGAAACGAACNATTTTGTATGAAAAATTAAACAGCGCCCCCTAGGGCGGCTATAATATAGGGGGCGCTGTTTAATTTTTCATACAAAATTTTTCGATGACACTTTGAATACGCAACGAAACGAACTCGAAAGTTTTTCCTACTAGAGGTACTGATGTAATTTGGAACTCGTTAATTGTTGGCAATTAGATTAAAGGAAGGCGTACGTTAAAATTATTTGTTGTCTAGCTAAACAGAAATACCGTTAAATATTATTGATAAAAAATACTAATGCCATAATAGATTATGTAAACTCCAACAGATACNCCAACAGATACGAGTAAAATGTTATTCTTTAATATCGTAGAATGTTTTAAAATGCATGGAATTGACATACTTCACAAAGCTATAAATTAAAACGAGCAAGTCAATGACCGAGTTTTAAATCAAGTAAGATTGGGCTAACTGAAAAAAATACTTTTAACAAGGCTATTGTGATAGAAAGTGAGAAGTTTGTTGTGAACTCCTAACCTACTAAAGTCCACCTAATTAGGTCTTATTAATTAAAGTAATTTGAAACTATAAATGCATTTTTTTCCAGCTCTTCACTGCGGCTCTGCTCTTATACGCCTGTTTCTCTGCCATCTACTACGCGAAATTCAACCCTATCCTGCCGGACTACAGCATGGAATACGACGACTACTTCTTAGAAAGGACAGTGGGCAGAAAAGCCAGAAGTTTGGATTCCTCAGAACTGCCTTCTGGGCTCAGCTGGATCAACTCAAGCACCTTCCAATTCATCTTAGACGCTATAGCAAAACATTATGAGGAAGAATAAACTTCTGTATACTTCTTTCAATACCTGAACTTGAACTTAGTGTTAAGTTCTGCAACTTTTTCTAACAATAACAGATGCAGACTAAAGTTACTGTATATTGATTAATTGATTTCCGAAAGTAATAATATGAACCTATAATTATATTCAAAAGAAATAACCGTTTTGAGTAAAAAACAGCATTATTAAGCTATGTAAAACAAGATGCGCATGTTTAAAGGTTTTGCTAGGTTTGAGTAATTATTTTATTTTGTACAGGGCAACGACGGCTGATAACTATTGGTAAGTTCCTTTATTTGTAATTATTTTAAGTGATAAAAAGTCCTTGTTGCCCTGTATTGAATGTTAAAGCTTGATTCGTCAGACTTTTTAGAAAAGTCTAAGTCAGGGTTTGGATTTTAAATTAGTATTAATTTTTGTTGACAGTTTTGCTCAATTTAGTTCGTAGCTATTTTGTATAAAAAATAAAAAATGAAATAATTTCCTATAGTTTCATTATGTTTTGTTGAACCGGTACAATATAAAATAAGTACACATTTGGCTAATTCTGTGTTTCCCATCCCTTAAGAAGGTTTAATGGTGTTTTATCAATGGTCTCTTACTTCATGGAACACTCGTTCAAAAAGGCAATAGCTTCACTTGCGCCGTGTCCAGTGTGGTGTAGGCCGTGTAAGGCGTGTAAAATTTATTTGTGGTGTGGCATAATGGGCTTTAAACCGAAGCCTGGTGAGAGGAGCACCGCCGAGGGTCATAAATCGGCCGGGCTAGGGGCGGCCGTGTAGCCCGCACTGCCACGCTATTGGGAAATAAAGCTTTTGAGACCAACCGCGACGTATACTAAACAATGTGAGATGACATTTTCCATTGTTCCTAGGGATACCATTTTCTTTTGTTTCAATGGAAACCTCATGTCCAATCATGGGTTGATTGATATTAATTTATTTTCAAGTGGCTCTTGTGACTCTACATTAGAGTAAAAGTCGTTTTTAGTGCCAAACCGTAACTCTTTTTTTTAGATATTTAAAATTAATGATAGTCATAGTCATAGTTTAGTTATTATCTTGCTGTGTACCTACTTGCATCGAATAAATATTTTTCTTTCTTTCTTTCTTTCTTTCTTTCATATTATTTTGATGTCGTTTGGCATAGTACATTCGCATTCTTAGTAGTGGTATCAAATTAGTTTTTATTCAAGGAAGGAATAACATTTCTTATCGCGCTATCCAGTTATCCATCGGAAACAAGCCTCGTTAGTTTTTAAACGGTTCAAAATAGCTCTACAAATATACCAGCTTTTTTAACCTCAATGAAATACCATCCAGCACAAAAGCTCGATCGTTTGAACATTTTCAAAAATTGTTTTCTTCTCTCCAGTTATTTTAATGCTCTAGCTAGATTACTTAATATTTCTCATGTTTATCGATCAGGTAATTTCAGTATAAGGTCGGTCTTAGCGGTGCCGGTGGCGGGTCGACGGCCGCGTGCGCAGCAGGACGATGTCGTCATTATAATACCCCTTTACGAGCGCGGGGCGGACGCTTCTAGCCTCTAGTTCAGAGAGAAGCCTCTATAAACTATTAAACAAAAGCTTTTTTAAATCATTATACAGTTTTAGACCTCGTTAAACAGCTGATGATTAGAAGAAACATAACAATTTTTATTTTAATGTTAGACAACATTACTAAATTAAAAGGTTTTTCGCGCAGGAAGAAAAACCAAAGTAGGTATGCTTCATACTGAAAATTCAGTATTTTCTTTCACTGCCACTCTTGTAGCGGAGTTTTGGGCTGACGCTGTGTAGGTTTGTTGTCAACACAATAAGAAGAAGAAGAAGTATTTTCTTTCTGTCAAAAAAAAATGTTTGTAAGCAGGCTGCGGTCAATGAAGAATTTATTGTGACGCATTATAATAGTAGCATCATTACGCATGGAAATGTGCAACGCACCGGACCCGAATATTTTTTCCCACCAAATATTATAGACGACAACGTACATATTTCACTCAACCGAAGTACATATTGCTTGCTCCACCATTTCTCATTTTTATCACCCAGTCTAGAATAACATAAATTCATGTTCCCGGGGTTGAGCAATTTTAAAACATGCGGGAGAAACCACAGGCGGGAGAGCTCCTCGATAAATAATACCTTTGTTACTGGGCTTCAGCTCTATGACTCTTCAATGCAATACTCATGTTTTTATTCATATACTTAACCTTGTGTCGGACTTGTTGTTACGCTATTATAACAGTTTTATTGTTATTGCTACTAAAATACATAGTTAAGTCATACATAATGCAGATAATTATTCGTATTTACCTACATATAATTACCTCCTTACATAAATTTGTGTATGTTACCGAAATTACGTTGGTTTTATGTTTATAATTATAATTAATCATCTTCATTATCTTTTGTATGTACCAATGATTCAAAAGTAAAATTCCATTGAAAATGTCTACCTACTCCTTGAAAGATAATTGAAAAAATAATGATTGTTTATAGCCTGTGTATTCTTCTGTATTGGACTTTAATGCGTATGAGAGCGCAATGAATATAATTCATAAGATGCAAAAAGATATAGTACATTCCTACCATACTGCTCTGACTGATTTATTGCCGTGAAATCTTGTTATAATAAAGGCATGAGTATGTATGCATAAATAAATACTTTTTATGAGATAAGTGCGAAAATATGTGACGTACAACCAGATGTGATAAAATAACGGTTCTATAATTTCGTCATCAATCGGAATTCCTCCTCAAGAATCCAACTGTTTTGTTGATTCTAGAAAACAATTAACCCATATCTCTAGTTACAGTTAGTCGATAATAACGTTACTGTGATATGGGTGATAGCGATCATTGCGCGATCAATTAAGCTATCTCGCGCTTCGGCGGCTGACCACAACATTTTCCGAAGAGCCTGTGGTTTGGTTCGTATTTTGCGTTACAATTACACGGGCCGGAGGAGTGCTAGCCGGCTGAGTTCGGGAGGCGGCGGTCTGTGAGGAGCTGTAGGAGGCCAGAGTCGTCTGCGCCGCGGCAGGCTTCCCCGCCAGTTCAATGATCAAGTGCATCGCGGGCGCACACCCGACGGGTCCGTTTCTGTGCGCGGCTGCGCGGTCGTTGCGCGTCGAAGTGCCGTGTTCCAAATACGAATTTTGTTGCTAAGTATCGCTGAGTGACACGAATTTATTTGGCAATCGATTTGCGGACGTTAAGCCAGTGCAGTGTTGTTCGGACGTTGCGTTTCCCGGCCCGTTCTGGATGTGCTTCTATTGGGGTCGCAAGGAGAGGTAAAACTCATTTTATACGGTGTAAGGTAATTAAATGTAGAGCTCTTGTAGGTTGTAGGATTAATTAAACTAAACTGAAAAAGTTTGTTAATAAAATAGGGGATCATAAACTTTATTTTAATGACAGTAATTAAAAAAATATGTGTGTAATTATGTGTGTAACTTATATCTATTATAGTAAATAAACGATACGATAAGGAAAATATGAAATACTACATAGGCAGGTACCCAAATTATCTCGATAGTTCGTAGCGCGTGGCGCTCTCATTGAAAAGACATCAACGACATGAAAACTGACATTATTGCAAATAAATAAATTAACTACAGAAAGTTAATTGTTCCATGAAAATGTATTAAATACGATATAAGTAAAACTAAAAATATCGTGCTACTCATATTATTGTTCAATGTAATGACCTACTATGCAAAACAGTGAACATGTATGAATAATCTAAGTTATAACGATAACTGTTCATAACTACTTTATGTTGTAGAAGCACATAGCTTGTTCGACTTATGCACAATATAAATATGCAGTTTTGACCCTTATTCATATGAAGTGTTGGTAGTTACGTTTAATTTTCAGCTCCTAACATCATTGAAGTCCATAATGAGAATTCTTTCTGTGTTCGATGACTAACACGTAGAAAGTAAGAAAACCCTAATGCGTTTCAAATCATCTTAAGTCATTGTACTTCCTTTTTCAACATTTACGAAAAGCTCTCGAGTAACGGACTCGACGTTCACTGTTAATTATTATTGTGGGGCTTGAAGCAGAACGCTGCTCATTAGTCACTCGTACCGCAGCCTTTTGTCTAAATATAATAGCCAGAAAAATATTGACAGCAAAGCTAAACAAACTAAAATTAGGTACAAAAATATTTACGTAGGTACGAGAAACTTTGAAGATTTTTATTTTATTTTTGCGTCGAGGACGATCATGACCTTATGATCTTTTAAAGGACAACGTGTCAAAATAACAATTACATTTATATTTAATAAATATAGTTACACAGAAATAAGGAGATACCTACTACACTTCGATATACTTGTGCCACGACGTGTTCAAATATGAAGAGCTATGAAAAGAAAACAGCCCTAAATTGAAACATTAGATTTAATAGGTTAGAATAAATTAAATATTAAAGTGAGTACTCCATAATTCTAAAATACTTCTCACATAGGTAATTTTAATATCAGGTAGTAGATATTTGACCAAACTCGATCATCATACCTATCTCTATTCTTTTTTCTAAGTAAAATCAACTCAATTGTCCGTAACAATGAAGATCTATTGATTAACGCACTGAAAATAACAATGGAGAATACATTTATTTGATATTAAATCTATTTATTGCTCATAACATTTATACCTAGTGAGTCATGCAATTTTTATTGTTATGAGATACTGCCCCTGGATAAATAAAATTCAGTCTACACGAAAACTTTATGGATGTTATGGATCTCGATAAGTTATCTTTATATTGGAAACTTAACTATAAGATGGTATGTGGATATAATAACTTAGAATGAATATAGCCTAGCACAACAGCTACTACTACAGCTATCATAAAGCCAAGTACTTGTTGAGGTGTGCGTGCGCGCAGCGTAGCGGGACGGCACTGTTGACACACATAGTGTTATGAACATGCGATAATTCTATGTAAAACTCTCTGGTAACATTATCTCACATAAACTGCCATGATACCACCATACAGGGAGACAATGATGGTAAAAACGGACGTCGCGTAACGGAAAGTCAAGTATCGGAAACAATTTTATTTTTATCACAAGATTTTGTTTGTTATCTGAACTTGGACGAATAAAAATATGACTATTATTAGAGCCTAAGTTTAGTAATGGTTCATTTATCTTTTGTTAAAAAAGTAGTTTTTCTGATAAATGGTGAACATAAAAATTTTAGTTTTGCATTTGATTTTCCTTATGCTTTGTTACTTAGGTTTGTAGTACAGCAGACAAAACTTATTCTGTTATAAAACAAAACTGTGTATTTCAGTTAGGCTACCCCTATTAAAGTGTCGTGCCTCTATTAATGAGTAAAACTCACGGTAGAGATGGGATTACGTAAAGTTCAAGTGCGCCGTTAGTCCATTCAGTGTAAATGGCATCGTGGATAACCGGTAAAGTGCGGTGCACACTGACTGCCTGTGCCTATTGTATGCGTAACTAATCAATAGTGCCTTGGAAATTCTTTTATATTTATTAAAAGCATTACCAAATCATATGAACAAAAAAAAATACGAGTATGTAATTCGAAGTTTAGTTCTATTTAAAATAATGAAGTCATATTTATATCCTACTTAGATGTTTACTTACTTTAAAATAATGAAGTCAGAGCTACATGAATATTGAAGAGAATAAAAAAAAGAACTTAAAGGAAAACACCATCGAGTCTACCGCTTGCAATCGGAATTTTCCGATGGAAGCTTTGAACGCATTCAATCTATACGCGTATAGTAATTTTTCGTCCGATTTTTCTTTAATTTTCTTAATCCTTTATCGAAAATTGTATAGTAAGAAGCAGACTTTGTGGTAGCTAGTCCTTTAGCCTGCTTGCTTAGTACCTCAGTAAAAACTATTCATACGAAACGCATCGATTGTAGAGCGCTCTTTAGTACACCTGCGCTTGCGTTCGCGCATCGCTAGACTGCGCTATCGGACGCACTTTTTGCCTTGTTGCGTGAACTTGCTTGTTGTGCGTTTATTTGTGCTGCACTGTTGCTTCACAACATCTTTCTCCGTGAGTTATGGGTTTTTGCTGCATCTTAGGAAAATATTAGTTCCGGGCTTTAGCAAACTTATGCTTTGTAGCAAAAAAAGATCTATAATAAAGAAATGGAAAATCAGAATAAGATGGATATTCAATTCTCATCTTAATGGTTAAAAAAACTTTATTTTCTAGAGATTCTTCTACTAATGTAAAGTTGACGCATTCATGTAATAAGAACGTCTTCCTTTTGTTGAAGTCGGTTAAAAATATTATAACTAATATACTTAGTACTATAAATTATAATACGAACTAATAAAATTTTAATGGCCCATACAACTAATTTAATTTGTCAATTAACGAATGCGAACTTTTTGAAATCTTTATCGGAAATATTTTAGATAAAATACAGCAATCTTGATGGAGTTTACAATTAAAATCATATCTAACAGATTACATAATTTATCACAGTTTTGAGATATAGAATCGATAATTGGTACATGGTCATTTAAATACTGTAAGCTCAATTATGATTATACAATCGTGATGATCATACCTATTAGATAACTCGGCGCATCTTCATGATGTTTAGGTACACACAACGTAATTACCTATTACATGACGTCAGCCTGTGATAGGGTTGAATGTTCATTTTATTCGACAACCGGCGGCTTTACCTTTGATAAAGTACTTAGATAATTCTTAAAGGTAGAGCTCACATAATTTTAATATACCTACTTAATTATATACTAATTAGCCATTGGTATTGACAAAAACCTCAATTTTACATTGCTCTGGGTATTTTTATTTTTTACTTTTTGGCATCCCTAACCTCGAGGTCTACTCACAGATCCTCTATGACTCTTCATTCAGAGGACGCCCAGTGCGCATCGTGACATGATACCTCGCAACACGGCAGCAGGAAACACACTACTACACGGTTGCACTATTAAAAAATAATAATGAGTCGTTAACTGGTCACTTAAAGATGATTTAACCGCGCTTCACGGTTACGTGATCATGTTCGCTCCTCAGTTGATAAAAAGGCTTTGTCTTTACACCTCAGGAGATCCGAAATGTATTCGTCAGGTGCAATACAAAATAACGGCGTATTTAAAGTAATGTTTATTCACTGCTGCGAGGCGCGCGCGGATCGAGCAAAATATTTGTTTGAGACGGACTAGTGCGTTCCTGATGTGAACACACACACCTTTACGTGGTTTTAATGGAAAATAATAAAAGGTAAGGTACTTAATATGCAACCTACTGTATAGTACAGAATACTAACTTATGGTCGGTAATAATGTTTTCGTTGTAACGCAGGTAAATGTAGAGTTTTACTGTGGATAACAAGTGCCATGGTGTCGCCAGGATGCATCTAATGCTAAATTTTGCAATGTATTTTATTTACGTGTCTTTGAATCGCTTCTATTTCTGTATGGCTTCCATGAAAGGATGTGCAAAACTATTTATGGCCAGCAGGTGCCTGGCCATTTGCATAAGAGTATCATGGTGCTGTTAACTACGTAGAGTATCCTTAGATTTTTTTTATAAACTATTTATTTATAGCATATAAAATAGAAAGATTTTAATTGAAATGATATTATTCGTAAAATATGTGAGTAATTAAGATGTCACGATATTAAAGTTTTCTATAGATGACCCACGCTGAACTGTCCCACCAAACTCAATGACAGGGGGGCGCTACCATCGTTCAACTATAGGGTTTCCAACATGGCAAAAATCGGAACTAGCGATCCGGTATTGACGGTGGCGCCCCACTGTCAATGTCATGCATAGGACAGTTCAGTATTTTGGAACTATACCAAGAAACCCAGAAACCTTTGACTTTGGTGTTGAAAGCCATGTAAATCTATTTGCATAGAATAGTACATCTTACTGGCACAAATATATTTTCATTTATGTGACACAGAACTTTCTATGACACTCGAACTCGATCTACAAAATTTTTGAGATCACCAAGTCAGTTTAGTATCTTTTTTCACTCGATTGTATCATATCCTATGAATAATACTGCCATAGTTTGTTGATTATCAGGTGTTTGCGCGACCTAATCTCTTGGTTGCACAGTTGGCAAGCCCTATTGTAAGTTTAGTGTTCCACATTGACGATCTGGCAGTCTCACGCGCAGGCACCGTTCGCGGCCGAATTCCGGCTGATTCGCGTTAACTCACCCACATTTACTTGTTTACATGTATACCTTTACATATATTACTTAAGAATACTTGCAAGTGGGTGACACGCATTCTTCGCCTTCTTTTGTTTTATTTATATTGATAAGATTCTTACTGATTTATTACGTGATAGAGTACCACAGACCTTGTGTGGTCTGTGCAGAGTAGAGTACCCTTATTTGGGGTTCATTTCACTGTTACTTTCGGTTGTGTATTTCAAATAGCCATTTTTCTTAGATTCGACAGCTTTCGACTATTCGATTTGAATGTAAAATAAAGCTATCACAGTAATAATGATGTATACAGTTATGGAACTGCAAGCGACACTGAATTCAAATGACAGCAAATTCATTTTGTATTCATGAAGATTTTCTCGAGTCCGATCGAGACGTCAGTAGTAATATTATTGTTTTGGAAACTCAATTTCGTTGCAATACGAGTTCTAAAAGAAAGATAAAGTTGGATTATTGGGTAAGTTTATAACTTTAAATGATAAAACTACTTTATTATTCTGAGATGCAAATTGATGCAATGTTTTGAGACGTTATAGAATCACAAAGAATGAAGGAAAATATAAATATATCCCGTCACTACGGAGAGAAAAGATAATAAGTAGAATATAGAGCGCTATAGATTAATTTCAACGTTAATAATGATAGAATATAAAAATAGACTTAAAACAATATCAGACACAATGAATCACAATGTATAAAATTTTTTGATCGTCAGGTTCTAAGCTTTTTTTCAGCAGCCAAGATTATACAGTTAGCATAGCGAAATACGGAAAGTATTTACATAACCGAACTGCCACTCGTCTCCTAGTAATATCAAGGTTGATTTTACGCGCAATGATTGTAGCTGATACGTATGAATGGGCAGCGCAGCGACAGGCGAGCGCGGGGTGACATTGACATTGGCCCGCGCGGGTCGCTGCGAAACGTTGAACTCGCAGGTAAATTGTTTACTAACAAAATTCCATTAGGCATTCAGGTGGGACCTTTGAGGGCTTCGCATTAAGAAGGTTAGATTACAGACTTATGTTAATTTAAGCCAGACATCCAAATGTAGAGGTATAAAACTTGAAAGGCTGTACATTAATATGAAAGACATCTTATAATTAACAGAATACTGAATCTACTACTTAGTAAATACGCTTAATGTAACCTAAATTTAATTTAAATAGTTGCAAGCGTGGCATTTGGCAATTTATAGGAATTTAAGTGAACATTTTTGACAAATAGGGGCAAATAGGGGCTGAAAGTTAATATGAATTTTGAAATGATGGGATCCAAGTATTTTTTCGTATCAATTTTGTGTTAAGTGCTATAAAATTAAATGTAGTTATTATATCATTCATTTAATTACTCCATGGGAACAGGAAGTAACAAATTAATGAAACCCCAAATAAACATCACAATTTAATATATTTCCATTTGATGATGGCACGCGATCTTCTAGCCAGAGGATATATTCATATTATTCAATTATTTACAGCCTCAATAGCAAATTATAGTGTACGTCGAAGAATTAGTTAGATCTTGAATCAATTACTATGAAGGTTTACCGGTATATTCCCATCATCATAATAGTGTATCGATTGTTATTATTACTAAGTATCTAACTACTATTCGCTCGAGTAAGCTTCCAACTATAACATCATTGTATAGTTCGCCTCAATAGAATCTGACAATCTTACAAATGGAATATCTTTAGCTTTTGCAGTTAATGTGAATTGTATTCTTTTTGCTGGTAAAAAGTTAAATAACATGTTTTCAGATCACTGATACCGTAAATTCTCTACCAAAATGGTAGAGTATCTGTGTGATGTAGTATTGGGTATCCTAGTACGGACATCAGTCTACTAAATACTTAAATAGGATATAACCTGTTTAAGCTGTAAAATTCTGCATTTTGTAATTGACATAATCTGTTACTATTTTCAAGATTCCATTATTTAATGCAGATTATACTGCTCTAAATGTACTTATGTTTTAAGATTAATAAAAAATGTGTGCAATAAAGATTAATAATAAAAAAAGATTACTGTCACTTCTCTCTACCAAAATAGCAGATTTTTATCATACGTACCGATTGCCAAAGTCTTTTGATGCAGACTATACTGCTCTACATGCTTTAATTTATTACCTAGGCCTACATCGGTCAGTTCCCACGCTGTGACGCTGCAGCCGTGAGCTGGTGACTCAGCATGGCAAGGTCTGGGCCTGAGGCAACGCTACGTGTTAACGACAACCGCGCGAAAACTGGAAGGGCATTATGGTTAGCGGTGATGTGGTACAGTTGTAACTGTAACGTCTGCAACATGTGCGATATCGTGTCATGCGACATAATCGTCATTATAATACAATGGCATGACGGTAACACGACGTAACAATTTTAAGAATCGACTATGTAACTGCCTAGGTTACTACTATATTTATAGGTATCTACTTACTCCTTTCTAGTTACTGTAATTTATTGTTGAAATCTTTTTATTTTAACTTGTTTTTATATCAGTAATCTGTTTTTTTTTAATGTAAAGTTAAATTAACTTCGACGTGTTGATTACATAATAACATAAAAAGAGGCATTAGTTTGAAGCCTTACCGACTCAAGCGATAACTTGATAAGTAGGTACTACATTGATTACTGGGTATCTAAAAACATTTAGTACAATCGATGACCAAAAAATCCAAACAACAGCTTCCTGATAGCAATCAACAATTTATTTCTACATCGCAATTATTTTTTTGTTGAATTTAGCTCTAATAATGTTTATGGTTATGACACATCATTGAGGAAAAACGTTGATAAAAAACACCATTCATCCGTGATATCGATAACGGACGGTGGTCGATAGTGCAACGGCTGACCCTGAGGTGAGGTCACACTGCTCCTTGCGAGAGAAGCACAGCCACCGAACTGAGGCTAAAAAATAAAACGTGAATAATTACCTATGATCTTATATACGAACATACCAATACGAAGTAGGAGAAAAAATCGTGGGAACTCTACAATTGATTTGCATTTTTGCTGGGCGGTCTATTTCATATTTTGTGTTGTCATTGCTTAGGTAGTTCATTGTATTACCTACTAATCTTCGATCTCAACAAAAAGTAATATTTGTAATATACTTCAATTACTCAGTCTCCTGCTGATGTCGATAATGTGTTTGGACCGATTTTTTTACCTATTATTTATAAATTATCCAAATCTGTACATCTTGCATGTTAATCTATACTCGTATATGCGAGTACGATGCAAATCGTTTCGCATACTCCATTGATTGCTGCTAGAAATATTGTTACCGTTGGAAATATGTTTCGAACTAGATTTTTGTGATCCAATTAACACGTATTGTGCGCAATATTAATAGAAGGCTATCATTCTTATTCAAATCGTTAATCATTCCACTTACAAGCCATAACCATTTTAGAAAATACTAAAATCAAATTAATAACTATTGAGATTGATTCGTATGAGTCATGTTCATAAATATTTCGAGGTAATTGACCGCATATTTTCAAAACGCTGGTGCAAAAACTGTACATTGTTTTTATAGAGTTTTAATCCTAAATGACAGTGCGTGTCCACGTCAAGTGAATTCAGTTCTAATTATTTAATTTAATGAGTAACAGAAATGGTACGAGTATTAATTAGGTGAATTCGAACGTTAATCCTTTTTCTATTAGTTTAATCCTAATTAATTTCATCAAAAATCAGGCATGTTTTATTGATGCTTTTTAATAATTAAAATGATTGTACATATACACGAACTCTTTCAATTAGTTTTTTACTATATCTTTAAATTCAATAAAGAAGGAACTAAATGTAAAAAATACTTACTCACTCATGTCAAATAATATCATGAAAGGATTGAATAAAAACTAGCTTATTACATCACGTTACATGTAGTGTTTCATTACTGTTGTGTTAAATAAAATAAATGAGCTAATATCCTCTTCGTTTTATTTAACGCTTATGTACCTAATCAAAATCATTAGTTGACGTAAATTAACAGATATGAGATTATGACTTCAGCGGATACTTCTACAGTAATATTCTTTTCAAGAAATCATGTGGTATTATTTCACCTGCTACCGTTTACTAGGACTCTTAAAAAAATATACTTTCCTACACAAATCAGAAGTGGTTAGGTAACTTTATTAATATTTTTTTGTTGGAAAAAGCGTTTTGTAAATAAAATGGAGTCATGACATTTCAGAGGGCTTAGTGCATCAAACGTCGTCACTAGTGAGCGTGTAAAAAAATGACATTAAATGTATGACGGATTGTACAGCGCCCCTAGCGGAAACTTTCAAGAACTAAAATGTTCATATAATTTTTTAACGCGCTCACTGATCAGGACGTTTGATGTAAACTCACACTAAGCCCTCAAGTAAAATATTTAGGTACCTAAAACACTTTAATAATAATTATTCTACTAACCAGTTGAATATTGTTTGTTGCAGATGTAAAGCGGACAGTGAGAGTGGCCCCGCTTGATCGGTTAAGTGTGATGGACTAGCCTTGCGCCAAGATGCACACCATGGACACCATGGGCTACGGCCACAAGAAGTACCGGCCGCCGATATCGCCCACCAACTTCTACCAGCACCAGCATGACTACTATTCGCGACATACGACACTTCGGCCACAGGTTAGAATCTTTCATCATCAATGTTTTAAATATTTCTTTTCATGAGCATCAGAATATAATATTTTCGTTTCAAAATTGAACAAATCACCCATTAGATCAGTGAGAGAGATTTGTCAGTTCAGCATACCACTCTCTCACTCACAGCATGCCATACGTTTCCCCGTTGTAGTAAAAAATACAGATTACACTACAGTTTTTAGCTTTTTCAGACACCGTCTTGTTTTTTTTAAAGTGACAGATCTCCATAGTTGCAATATTAGCAGAAGAACATCTTCTAATAAACTCCCCTTTGGTATATTTATTCTTTTTGAACAAAGCTCAAAGCCGTTTATGTTATACGTACATATTTGAAGTACCTTGGCCTCCCATTATACGAGTTCTTTAACACCTCGGTCATGCTTATGGCGTAGCTAAAGTATGCTTAACATAACACAGCACTGCTTAAAGGCACTTTATACGCAACTTGGTGCGATGAAACATTGTTATGAGTGCATCTAGAGTGCGCATGTAATGTTACATATCGAGGCTCTTATTGTATTTTTTATGAGAGTGTATAAAGACATATGGGGTGAATATTTTAACTGCCCTGTGCATTGAACAATATCGATGCATAGTTAATTCGTAACTTTTTAAGATCTCATCGATCACTTTTCGATGATAATTGAAATTATTATCCTGAACATTAAACCTAAATTAAACATTAAACTTATAACTTCTTAGATTACTACAATCCTATTGTCATATTTTGTCAGTTTTATAAGATTAGATAATTTCACTCTTTTTGGATTCGACGTACCTAGTTATTATTTTTCGTCAGGCTGGTCTCTCTCTCTATGTCTCAGATTGAATGCATTCAGTCAGCACTTCAATCCCTCCAATTGAATCAATCGATACCAATTTAAGTACAAAACGGCGTTGTGTATAATTTTCGAGATGGCCGATGGGAGCGGGTCCGAGCTTAGGGCCGGCGGTCCCGTTACCAACGGTACCCGCCGATCGCTAAACTGGAATAACCGACCAACTATTATACTCGGCTCTAAATTAAAAGAACCGCATCATATTCCACAGTTTTGGGGTTGCTATTACTGCTGCTCCAATAGCTGCTACGAAAGTTATGTCCTGCTTGGTATTGGTAACTTTGTTCTGTTTGTGTAAAGGCTTGAACAATACGTATTTATTTGAACTAGTTAATATAAAAAATCTATTAAAATTACAGTTCTTATAGCGGTTTGTGATTACCAAACCGCAAACATTATTCTCTAACAATCTAAACCGTTCTATAGTTCTTACTTCTTACTCTATCCAGTTTTTCAAGAGTACTAATAATATAATTTGATTCAAGACCCCTTGTGCAGCTATTTAAAAAAAAGATTCATGCATTCAAAAACTCTATGCAGCATGCAGTCATGCACGCCATAATTCGTGACTGAGATTATACATGCAGCCGCGGAGATTAATATCAATTTGGTTTTACGACGCGCACGTCATAATACCAGTTCATAGGAAGCCATGAGTGAGAACAATACCAAAAAAGAAGTCGTCGGATGAATCGTGAAATATACATAAAGTTGCCGGAAGTTTGTTCCTGCGTAGTCAATTTGTCAAGCTAATATGGGCTCTCCTTGACAGACGTACGCTGACGAGTGTAACAATTAGTAACGCACACAACCGGAGGAAGGCACTTTTTGTTAACATGTTAACTTGCTTCTTGTTTTACATTATCCGGCACAAACTAGATTAAATTATAAATTAAGACCGCTTTACGAGCATTGTTCATTTTCTACAGTTAGACAGCTCTACTTAAAACTTTTTGTGTTTACAAGACTATCTAGACATGCTTCAGTTTTGACTAATTGATTACCCATGACGTAGGTTATTAGAACTGTGCTCTATTTATGCGAATATAAGTTTATTTCTCGATACTGCATTAATCGATTGCCAATCGATAACGTGACGGTAATTGGTGCGACATCGTTGCGCCCGCGCCGATCGCACGGTGTCGTTCACCGTCGCTGCGTAACCGTTACGTCTGCTTTGATCTCAGGGCATCAAATTTCTTGCATTCTTATTACGTGGGTCAATCCACTTTGTCTTTAGTTTGACCATAAAACTTTTTAAAGCTAAAAAAGCTCTTTAAACTTTATCTACACTATAATATTATAAAGAGGAAAACTTTGTTTGTTTGGTTGTAATGAATAGGCTCAAAAACTACTGGACCGTTTTTAAAAATTCTTTCACCATTCGAAAGCTTCATTATCCACGAGTAACAGGCTAAATTTTATTTTGGAAAAAAATTGGGTTCCGTAAAATATGTAGATAATGTTGTGTGCGGAAAGCTAGTAGTTGAATAAAATTTCTTATGTATGATAGACAAAACACACTCAGCATTTTTTTTTTCAAGTTCAAATCTAAATCCCATTACGAATTGACCTCACGTAGCATTAAAACGTTTCGATGTTTTTGTAATTCATTTTTGTTTACCTTTCAAGCATTCATAATGTTCATCATTTTGATCTCTGTCACGTTCCTTTACAAAATTCGTCTTAATGTGAGGTGTATGGCGGTCTTTCACGTTTATTGAATCTTAGATGTAGAGACAGAATACATTTTTATAGACCAATGAGTTAAAATGATACTAATGGTTTTTAATATGAGTGGCTTTACGTTTACTAATTTAACGTATTTATAACATACAAAATGGTTTTATCTTTTTAATCTAAAGCCTACCCGTATCTATGTATGGCATTTTATGGCCACTATATTCATATTACCTTTTTAATTTACATTTACTAGTGATAATTATTACGAATAGGTACATTCATAAACTCATTTTTATAAGTTGATGAATTCCTCACAAGAATATATTAAGGCAGTGTTTTTGTACATAATGGTGTTAAGTGCTGATCCAAAACTTGACTAATATCTGACCGCAAGTCATTGAGAATGTACGTGACGTAATAAAAAAGATTGTCAAATCAATCTCATGCTCTTGTAGGCCAGATCTCGATCTTCTAACACAATTTTAGTGAATCCGAATCACACAGTTTATTTACTCTCAAAGCTTTATGATTCTAAACAACAGTAAGTAGGTAGTCTAGTTTTCATCAGCTATTGCTTTGTTAAACTTCAAGATTTGAACCAAAGCTTTTAATGATCCTACCTCTATCTGTTTACCGGATCATGTGATTAATATTATTTAATATAGAGTTCAATCTTTAATTTAAGATTTTGGTTCAATCACATGGAAAGACACAAATTAAAATCTCTCTGTACACTAAATTGTTCCCTGTTGTGTTAAGACTTTGGAGATTTAAATCAATCTGTATTTCCGAAAAGAAATGTGATTCTGTGCTACGGTGGGCACGTCAAATCGTTTGTACTTTACGATTCGATTGGGAAAGAAGCACCCCGCAGCGCCCGAGTGCGTAACGGTGACGGCCGACCTTAGGATCATACCTTCCATTTGTTTCCGGCGCAGGCGCAGTGAAAACGGTAAGTTTTTTTACTCAATTCGGGTTTTGAGGCTTCGATGAGTAATGGGTACACTGGATCATTGGTCAGGTGGATGGGCGGTTTAACCGGTTAACGCAATCTGTAGGACCCTGAAGGTACTTATCAAAAAGTTTAAAAGTGCTAGGTACATAATTTCGCCTTTGAAGAAGTGAAGCACGATTGGAACTTTCCAATAAAATTGACCCCTCTTGGAAAAGCTCGAAGATATGAATTTTTATATTTGTTTTGAACATTGGTACAGATGGTAACATGTAGGTAATAAATAATCTTCTATCCATAGTTACCTACCATAGTTATAAAATACTAGTTTTGTTGGACAGAACCCTTATATGAAATTCATATTTCTAGAACCCACATGTAAGAATCTTAACTTTTCATTTAAAAATTTTAGCAATTATGTTTAAATTTATTGCATTTGTATGGTTCATTAAATAACATTTCTATAAAAAAGCCATAATTTCAGCGTCTGTTGAACACAGTTGGCGTTGCACATGCAATCTTACATTAAACAAACGAGAGATCATAACGAAATAATTCTAAGCAATGGACCAAGAAGTGTACAAGCGTACCGAAAGCTATTTGGACAAATAGTCAATATCGTATCTTAATTCTGTTGTAGGTACTCGTATTTGGTTTTAATAAAGACACGGTAAGAAAACACCTTTACTGCTTACTATCTCAAAAACTCTTTGCGTTACAATCTTTTTAGTCAAATCAAGTAATAATACACCCGAACTTTACATTACTATGTTTTTATTTGGATAAATTCGTACAACTCAAATGTAACTAAGTAATTATTTTCTAGTCCATCTTTTCTTAATTACCTACTTAGTCTTCGGAAGCACGAAAAGCAACATAGCTTGAATACAGCCATCGTGTTAATTGGCAAATAGTAAAATAGTAGGAAAACAAGTCTGTGGGTGGAATGTTAACACTTAATGCCCATTCAGCTATCAATCCGTTACGAGTGTTGAAGCCTGCTGCATCCGAGTGAACAGTTACTTGCGTATGTCGAGCCTCACGTGCGGGAGTGATAAATGACTATCAAATCCTTTGACGAAAGAGCATTGATCGATCTTTTAAGAACCTAATCTTGATTTTAGATTAGATTTTATTTTGATGATTTTATTTTAGATTTAAGAACTTTTTTATAAGGTTAAAATTTAAAATATTCTGATTCACGAAAAAAAACCTGTCAATTGTGAAAATACGTTATTGTACAAATATGGATAACCATTTTTGAAAATGAATTTTTTGACCCTGCCCTTGCCCTTGCCCTTGTTGTAAGACGTGAATCCTTACAGTTATCGTCATTACGACTTATCGCGTGTGGCATACTGGAAAAAGTTACGAACATTACTACATCGTAGCTTTATTCGTAGCGCATCGCCAATTTAAAAAACGTGGTTGCCGGAAAAACATGTTTGTTTTTAATTAATTTTTCGCGTAAAAACTTTATTAAGATTGATAAATAATTGCAGGAAGTA